CCGAAAAGTAATTTGGCAACTGCTCCAACACTATGGAATATCACAACAACAATATGAAGACGTCACATGATCAGTAATTCGCAATGGGAAGCTCAGTGATGCCTTTGAAGTGAAGACGGAAGTAAGACGAGGTGGCTGCCTACTATCACCCATAATCTCCCTGATTGTGGTCTACCAGACTGGATCATGCAGCAAAACATGATGAGCGAGATGACGGCATCTGCTGGCTGGACCGATGGTAAGACCCTGGAAGATTCGGATTTCATTGATGATTTGTGTCTAACACCGCGAAAACTAGAAAATCAACAGGCGAAAACTAAAAAGTTGAAAGAAGAGGTGAGGCAGCGAAAACCAGACTTCAAGTCAATGCAGAAAAGACGGAGGATACTCAACCAACAACAGCACCAACAGCAAGCACCAGTCATCATTAAAGGGAGAAACCGAGAGGAAGTAGTCTCTTTCACCTACTCACCTACCTAGGCAGCATCGTTTCAACTACAGGCAACAAAGGCACAGGTGAAGATGTCAAAGCCCAGATCGGAAAAGCAATACTGGCTTTCATTATCTTGAAACCAGTGTAAAGACCTTCTTCACTCAGCACAAAGAACAACATCCGCATTTTTAAAATCAGTGTCAAGCCAGTGCTTCTATATGGTTCAGAGACCAGGCACGTTACGAAAGGGATTTCCAACAAACTACAGATATTCATCAACAACTGTCTACGCTGGCTCGTTACTGAAGATCAGATAGCCAGAAGGAATAAGCATCAAGGAACATTGGCTGACAACGAGCTAACCAGGAACCTATAACTCAACAAATATGCATTGGAAGGAAGTGAAGACGGATTGGGCATACACTGAGAAGGCTGACTGGGAACATCACTTGCCAGGTCAGGTACTCGAGTGGAACCCAGATGGGAAGCGACGAGTTAAGGGTTTGAGGTGAGGGTGACATGGAGGAGATCGTGTGAGGAAGAAATGAGAGGTTGTGGGCAGTGGTGGAGCCAGGTTCAAAAGATTTTCGAGAAGAGAGTTGACTGGAGACGTGCTACTGAAGCGTTATGTTCCACTAGGAACCCATGGGACATATAATGACATAATATAATACATGTGGAATTATGGTTCATTGACTCCAGAAGTTGACTCCCAACCAGTGGAACATGGATTCGAGCACCTCTCCACCTGCGAGGGTTTGAGCAGCACGTTTCATCCTATTTGGGACACGTTAGCCAGTCTAAACATACTTTTAAAACTTAGTTCACTGGCGTAACGATCAGTTCTCACATGGTGAAAGTGACCTGTCGTTGTCTTTTCAGCTTGTTCATTCTCGAGTTTTAACTTGTACAAAGTATACTACACGCGGAGTAAGCAACTTATCCTGAAAAAGGTTACTATGAAGAATTTCTTGAGAGTTACACCCATCTCAATGTCTTTATCTGGTCTTTTTCAAGTATCTGGGTATTTTTAACCCTCACTTTATTACGGTATAGCACATCGAATCTTGTGAATGCACATAATATCTTTAGTAGATAATAAGGTCATAAAGACGACAGTGTATGGAAATTACAACGGTGTGCATTTCACGTTTTACTCGAAATGAGAAACTGTGACTTATAAAGTCATGTAGGGAATAAACCGAGATATGAATATTTGATGATTCCACAGTTAGTGGGTACCAGCAATCTAAGTATAAAACTTGGGTGCTGTATTATTATTGTTATTTTTCCCTTGGGTTCCTAGTGAAACACACCGCTTCAGTAGCACGTCTCCATTACACTCTGTTCTCGGCAATCTTTTGAACCTGGCGCCAAGACTGCCCACAGGCTTTCATTTCCTAATCACACGATCTCCTTCATGTCACCCTCGCCTCAAACGCCCAACTCATCGTTTCCCCTAAGGATCTCACTCAACGGTCTGGCCTCGAGCGTGATGTCTCCGAATGGTTTTATCAGTGCATGCGCAATCCATCTCAACTTTTTTCGTCTTCATATTTGTTGGGCGATAGGTTCTTGGTTGGTTCGTTGTCAGCTAGCCAGCCAGCCAGAGTTCCATGATGCTTATTCTTATTATCCTGGCCATCTGATCTTCAGTATCGAGAGAGCGTCAAGTTTCTGAACCGTATGGCAGCACTGACTCGACATTGGTGTTGGAAATCAAGATCTTGTTCACACTTTATGCTGAGTGAAGTAGATCTCCACACCCATCTCAGATTAGTGAAAGCCTGTCTTGCTGTCTTTCCGATCCTGGTCTCGACATCCTCGTCTCTGCCTTTACTGCCTGTGTTTGAATCGATGCTGCCTTGCCTAGGTAGGTGGGTGGGTGAAAGAGACTACCTCCTCTCAGTTTCTCTCGTTTATGGTGATTGGTGCCTCTTGTTGTTGATGCTGTTGTTGGTTGAGTACCTTCATCACCTCTGTCTTCTCTACATTGACTTGAAGTCCGGTTTTCGCTGCCTCACCTCTTCTTTCAACTTGTTAGTTTTTGCCTATGGATCTTTGAGTTTGTGCGACAAGACATTAGATGTAAATGATTGGGGAAATCCAAATTATCTATGGTCTTTTCATCGGTCCAGCCAGTGGATGCCCGTCCTCTCACCCCGAACGGTTTGCTGCATGATGCAGTCTAGTCGAATACAATCAGGGAGATTAGAGGTGATAGTAGGCAACTATCTTGTCTTACTCATGTATTCACTTTTAGGCGTCACTGAGCTTTCTATTGTGGATCACTCGGCACTCGGCGTCTTCACATAGTTGTTGAATGAGGTTGATAAAGACTAGTAAAACTCCATAGTGTTGAAGCAACTGACAAATCACTTCTCGGTCGACGCTATCGAATGCCTTTTCAAAGTCGATTAAGGTTAGGTGAAGATCCATTTGACTGCCATTCGATACTCTGTTCTATGATGATGCGTGAGGTGGCGTTACAATCTGATCTACACATAATTTGTTCTTCCAGAAGCCGGCCAACCAGCCTGTTCGGGTTGTTATCTAGTTGAATCCAGCTCATCATCTAGTCTCTCCGGGATGATGCGGCTTAATGTTTTGTTTGGGTTGGACAGCAGGATGATTCTTCGCCTGCTCTTGCAAAGACTTGTGTCACCCTTCTTTGAGAGTTTGACAAGGTGCACTTTCTTCCAATCAATGGGAAGGTACCTTTCCTTACTTCCTTCTTTGCAAACGTTCTGCAGTAGTGGTGTGAGCATGTCCGCTGTTTTCTCTGTGTCTGCATTCAGTGCCTTGAGAGGAGTTCAGTCTGGTCCTGCTGCTTTCCCGGATTTCAGCAGTTTTGTGACATTCAGGGTTTCTGATTTTGTTGGAAGGCTTTTGTTCACTGATAGTTCTTCGGTTACTGGTGGCATTTCTGGAGGCGTTGCAGGTGGTGTTCGATTCAAGACTATTCTGAAGTGGTCAGCGTACTGTTTCCTATGTTTTTCCTCTTTGGTAACTAGGTTTCCTTCATTATCTTTCATTGGTTTCGTCTGCTTTGGTCTCCTCCCTCTTAAACAGTAACCTGGTTATTTGACATAGTGTTGTCAGGTCTCTGTCTCTCCCACCAGCAGCCTGTTCTGCTTCACTCGATAATGTGTCGTAGAAGTTGGGGGACCGTGATATAATATAATCCTATATCAGATTTTTTTGATATGTAGCGTACACTGATACCATATTATTAACTTGATGATGTTTCCTGCATAAATTATTGCTCATAATCCTTCCAATGTATTCACCTCACTGTCGACATTTGATCTCTATAGTCCTGTCACCTGATATTATTTACTTTCATTTGTAGTATATCTTTCCAAATCTCCAGTATAGGTAGTGCGCCATTCCTATTACATGTGTTGGGTGTTGATTTGATGGACAAAGTGATTTAGTAATCAATCTCTCTCTGTGTGTGTGTCTAATTATATTGGAGTTAAGTACAATGGCTTTGTCCCAACCTATTGTGTGGTTATGTATTAATGCATAGATTCCAATAGCAGATTTTTTTCAGGTTATTGATCTTATTTGCGTCTGTCATTCTATATTTGGCTAAATTCTGATGTTTCGATAATCTAACTAACCCCCACCGGCTAGTTTAACCTATGTACTTTACCTCATAGTCATTACATGGAACTTGAGAGTGTACATTAATTTGCTTAATTGGTTCTATCAGATCCATAAGCTGGCAAAGTTTATCTCTCAGTGAGTTTGTAGATTTGAATGCCACCCTCATTCCAGCCTTGTTGAGAATCTTACATAAAGTTTTTGATGTTCCTTCCTTATGGTGTAATACTATGGAGACTGTGAACTATTTTCTATTCGTGTTATCGTTATTATTCCTGCTCGTGTTACTGTTGCTATTATTAGCACTTCTTTTGTATGTTTTAATTCCTATAAAAATCAGATGTCGAAAGTGAGGTGATTACCCTGATATGATTATGAGTAATAATTTATGCTCGATTTCATCAGTCAGGTCATCATACTGATCCAAACAGCAAGTGGCCGTATCGCTTGTTTCAAGCCATCTTCAACAGAAGTGTATCCTGAAGATTCATGACACTGTAGTGTTGGAGATAAGACCTAGTGATCTCAAGTGAATGGTTGTCAACAGAAACCTTTTTGTCACCACAGTTGGACAGTTGAAAAACTACTCAGCTACGAGAAATGTTAACGTGGGCATTACAATTCATAAATCATTTGGAAACTGGTCCATGCAAGTCAGTTAGCCAAATTCATGTGATGTGAACTAATTCGGTTCCGTGATCTAAGTTTGTCCGAGTACACCGTTGATGATCTCGGCTTCATAGGAGCAGAATGGTTGGTCGATGTTTAAATCACTCTGATGACCTGTCTGGCCAAATCTACAGATCAGAATAAGTGGTTTCTAACTACTTAAGTCGTTCAGTAGTAGTATCTGTCACAAATTTAATTCAATTTATATTATAAATTACTCTGAATATGATATCAAAATTCGATCAACAGATGTAGATTTAGCACTGAACCTTTTGTTTGTTTATTTTAGGAAAACTTGCAGAAAATATTTAAAAATATCCCACCGATAACCGATCTACAGTCTCTTTCAAAACACCTTATTGAATCTAAGAAACGAATCAGGTCAGTTTCTTGAGTATGATATCACTTTCACAACCTTTTTTTCATAAATAAAAATTATGAATCTTTTTATGCAACTGTGAGAAAGACCCTTGGTGCAATATTCATTCAGTAAAGAAATGTCACCAGGCTACTGATAAGTTGTTGTTAACTACACGAAATACTTCGGCGTATCCATCTTATGAATGAGGAAGAAACAAGCGAAACATGTACACTGATACATATGAAAAATTCAACAGTTTGATTTTGGGAAATCCAAAGATTAAAAAGAATGATCTGGTTTGGGCATTTTTCCACTGCTATCGAACTTCTTTACTAACATATTGAGATTTGAACCTAGGGTCAATCACTTCAAACACCAACACATTATCTACCAGGCTAATGAGTGATGATAACCACTCAGTGGCCTAAAAGATAACGCTCTAGAATTAAGAAAGTCTGGGCCTGTGTTCGAATCTTCATGGGAACAACATCACTCATTGGGAAGCTAGCACTTCCGACCAAAGAGTCTCAGATATGACGAAATGTGTGTACTACATTTCACTACTATCCGGTACCCATTACTAACATCTCAACTGGAAATATAAAGGCATCCGCATAGAGGCCCATATGCCAACAGTGGATGACCAATTTAGTCCAGTCAACAACGGAGATACACTAGCTATTACATCGAAGAAAATACACAATAGTTTGTTAATAGAGCCTTTTATATGAAAATAGTAAGTGACAAATATGCACATTGAGAAGTCAGTAATTCTTGATTGAACAAGCTGTGCAATTTTTGCTTTCTTTCTAAAGACAAAATTTCAAGTTTACGCATGCATATGTGTTCACGGAAAAAGTAAAATCAGTAAGATCAAAACATTTCAGGTTGGTATTCTCATAGACTGACACTGGTATGAGAAACTTTAGAAACTTAAGAGCACTAGACAGCCGTTTCGTCCTGGAACGGGACTCCTCAGCAGTGCGTTCCCATGACCAACAAACACTAGATTAATTCAGTTTCAAGGTTTGTGGAGCCAACCAAGAGAAATATGAGGACAGTCACTCAATGACAACAGCGCTTGGGGGTGAACTGGCAGAAGTAGGAACATTAGATCACGACTCAATCACCCAATAGTAACGTGCTGGTCACTGAATCTGAGGATCCTGGGTTCGATCCCTGGCGGGGTGGGGTAGTAGGTGCGCGTGGCTGAGGAGTTCCATACTAGGACCAGTGCTCTCAGGTTTCCAATGTTCCTCCAACCAATGCCAGTCCATAATCAATAACAACCTGAAATCAATAAATCCTCACAAATCTCATGATTGAATCTAAACATTTGATTTAAGTAATTAACTACTTTTTTAGAATGTGCACGCAACATGCTTGTAAAACATTCTACCGATTAATTAATTAGGTTTTAGGGCGTGTAATCATCAGAGGAACGTGTTGTTCAAAACAAGACGATGAAAACGCTGGATAAAGTTTTCGCTGTTTTTGGTTCCCTCCAGAACATGAGGAGAATGGTGTTACTTAAGACATGGAATTGAGCCGACAAAATAAATCTAGCTGGTTAGTGAAATTAACATTGAATGCATGAAATAAGCATGAAGGAGTGCTGGGTATTCAGTTTTCTTATAGATGCTGAAATTGTCCATTACTATGATAAAAAAGACTTTTTGTACTGAGTTATTTGAGTTAACAGCTTGTTTCTCATACATTTTTGTAGTTGATGTTTGAAGTGCGAGGACGAGAACTTTCTTTCCGAACGTCTAAGGGCATTAAGGATGCACAGATAGAGTGGAACCGTGAAGGTTTTCAAAAAAAACAAACACCTCGTCAGAACCATCTTCCGATTTCTTACAGTTTTCTAATGAATAAAGTTGAAAGTGTTATGGAGTGATGATTAAAAGTGAAATGGAGATGTGTTTTACAACAGGATTCGAACCAGCTGTTTTCATATAACTTGGCTGGTAAATCACCAAATCATCTACCAGTCCCAGTTGCTGATCACATCTTAATTTCACTTCAATCAGTAATGGATTTGTCTGACTGCTATGTGAATCCGTGATGTCACTGTCTGTTTATCGTTATTACATTGGCTGACAGGCTGATAACGTGGATGCGGCTAGTTTAAATCCTGCTGTGACCTAAATTCTCACCTCATGTTCAATCATCAATGTAGAAATAATACCAGTAAATCAAATCGCGGCTATTTCAGATAGCCTCAAGAAATTGCATGAAGTTTCAATAAAGTCACTTGTTGATTTTTATCCTATTCATACTAGCTTTCTTTGTGATCAATGGCTGGAAGTACTACGCCTTAATCTAGGTCTTCAACGGTATCGCATTCCATCACCTAGAAGTACACGTGAATTCCTTCGTTACAAGGTAAGTGTGTTACAATGAAAAATGCTCCTCTTGTCCGCTTGTCTGTTATAGATTTTCATCTGTTTCATTGTAAATCACATTTTTACTTCAAGGAGCATATCGAAGCATTACCATACACTTGTAAAGTGTCAGTATGAATAAATACTTGATGGATTCCATTTAAATAACTAAAAATCCCTCATTTGGCAACTGAAAATTAAAAAAGGTTACAACGGAGATAAACATCTTTTCAACGACTCATCTTCACAGTTATACATTCCGAAGTATAAGTACATGAGTGAAGTGAAAGAATGTTCCAGACAAGTTCCTTGTCAAAGTTTAAACTTTATCAGGAGGCATATGTGGGGAATGAAACGATATTACGTAACACAAGATGTGATCCAAACAGTTTTTTATAAAATTCGGTGAGCAGTAAGACTTGATATCTTGTAGAAATAAATAAATGCATGAATAAGTAAACAAATAAAGTACAACAATAAAACAGAAACAGAAGTGCAGAGTGTCTGATGTAAGCCACGATACACAGTGCGTATACATGTTTCTTTTGAATACACAAATAAAGTTTGAAGCTGTGAATTGGTAAAGCTGAGGCTTTCCCTAAGTGTCAAATCCTAACCCTCTTTTGAACGGTTCTATTGAACTTTGCAGAAAACCTTGAACGAGGTTTCTCGAAGAACCCCATTCCTACAGCCTACGTGGTGTTCAACGATGGAGCTTGAGATAGTTCTGTGCTCACCTTTCAGCAACCAGGATAGGTAATGTTTAAGAACATGTTCTACAAGTAAGTCCATAACGCAGCCGATGGACTGAGATATACAATAACAAGTGAACCTGTAAATATACTTTGATGAGGTCCAGTGCGTTAGCTTATTTTTTACTCACTGACGAATCACCTTTTGACATGAGAACACAATATGGAAGCTCACAGAATGCTCTAGATAAGGACTTTGACTAACGTTGACGAAGGATGTCCACGATAATATCATCTTCGAAGCTGCTTGAATCTGTCCCACAGCCTACTTTTTGTTTATATTTTTCTTTACGAATACGGATTGGTAGCCATACCTTAACAGCATTTTTCGGAGGCTTTCTAATTCTTGAATAAGTGTATCATCACTGCATATCTTTCTTAATCTTGATGTTTACTGAATACACCACACGGTATTATGCACTATATAACACAATTTACTGTCCATAGTCTTATAAAGTCGGATCCAAAACCTTTAGACACCTCTTGATATAGGTGGTGAAATTTTCTATATATTTGCAAGAGCTTCGAATAGGGGTTTATGAAGACCAGATGATTCCGAAATATTTTCATTACTATCTAGCAGCATTAGGAGAATTATCAGTAGCCTGAGAGCGCTGTACAGCTGTTTCGTCTCCGTTAAAGATCCCTTAGCACTGCATACCCACAACCCCTTGAAGCAGTGATTTCAGGAATATCAGGCCATTCATCCAATGGGTTAACATCAAACGGCTTACATTTTTCTACTTCTGTCAATTCGACATGTAGTAAAACCGCCATCGCCGAGTATTTGTTCTCACAACCAAAGTGTTTGACCCTGCACTTCATGGTTTCTCGTTACAACTTTAAAAAACTCATCTTGCAGCAAGTCACTAATAAGCATTTAGAGTTATTCAGTCAATGGTTTATGAAGACTGATTGGTTTTAAATAGGTTTTCGTTATATGTTACCAATCTCTGGCTCCACCCCACTAAGTTTCTCTTTGGGGACTCTCACTCTGTTCCACCATATTGTGTACTTGTATGTAATAGCGTGTATAACAACAGCCCAGCGTCTTTTAGATTCTTTATCCTACTAGGATCTAGCAACCTTGATGTAGCTCGGACAGTCTAATTCACTCTAGTCGACCACTTTGACATATGTATTTGAATTCACAATTATCACAAGGGACATGGTCAGCTGCATTTTATTTATTGATTATTAATTTGTTCCTTGGGTTCCTAATGGAACATAGGGCTTCAGTAGCACGTCTCTAGTGCACTCTCTTCTCGAAATTCTTTTGAACCTGGCTACACGATACCCCACAACCTCTCATTTCCTCCTCACACGATCTCCTCCATATCACCCTCGCCTCAAACACCCAACTCGTCGTTTCACATTCGGCTTCCACTCGAGTACCTGATCTGGCAAGTGATGTCCACAGTCCGGATTTTCAACACCAACACCAGTCAAGTCAGTGCTTCTATATGGTTCAGAGACTTGGCGCGTTACGAAAGGCATTTCCGACAAACTACAGACATTCATAGACAACTGTCTACGCTGGCTCGTTACTGAAGATCAGATGGCCAGAATAATAAGAATAAGCAACAACGAACTCTGACTGGCTGACTGGCAACGAACCAACCAACAACCTGTCGCTGAACAAATGTGCATTGGAAGAAGGTGGAGATGGATTGGGCATGCACTGAGAGGGCCGATTGGGGACATCAGGCGTCAGGCCAGGTACTCGAGTCGAAGCTGCATGTGAAACGACGAGTTGGGTGTTTGAGGCGAGGGTGATATGGAGGAGATTGTGTTAGGAAGAAATGAGAGGTTGTGGGGTATCGTGTAGCCAGGTTCAAAAGAATTTCGAGAAGAGAGTTCACTGGAGACGTGCTATTGAAGCCCTATGTTCCATTAGGAACCTATGGGACAAATAAAAATAAGAATAAAATAGTAGTACTTATTATTTTATTCGTTTGATTGATAATGTTGTTTCACAACGTTTTAGGGTATCCGTTTTCCACTAAAACCTGTTTTATTCTGGAGATTTCATTTCTTAAATCATTAGGATCGGTTACGATGTTTTTTGTGCTCTGTTTAGTAGGTTCTACGTGACACTAGCTTTTATGTTAGTTGAATCATCCGACTGAAAGTTTAAATATTTATCGGAATGTCCTGCTTTTCTGAATATCTTCATTATGAATTTACCTTCAGTCGTTCTTCGGATAAGATGGTCTAAAAATTTTGGAGTGCCGTCCTTAGATACTAGTTTACTGATGAATTTAATGGAATCTGAAATAGAATTTACATGTTCTAAAAATGTTTTTTTGTCCTCTCTCTTAAGAATAAAAAAATGCTTCATTCATATTGCTACATCAAATTCTGGATTGATATTGGATACATCTTGGAGATCTCTCTTCCAATGCTTCCATATAGATATGAATAAGAATTTATATATTCCGGTGAAGAAGCTGTGGTTTACGCAGCAAAATTTTCAGAAATATCCTATTTTGATTTCCTGAACACACTGGGATTATATTAAAATATCTTCTTATAATGTCTGAATTCTTGCCTCAGATTTTGTGTCTCAATAGTACAGTTATTCTGCTCTTTGACTAAGACATTCTACGAATCCTAGGTAGACTGATAGGGGTGTGTTATCTAAGGTCAAAGTAACAATTTAAATATGACAGTGTTTTATAGTTCTCAGTGTGTAAACTTCCATCTTGTTTACTTTTTATCCCAAAGTTTGAAATCACCACTTCCTCTTCATCACTTTCTAACTTATAAGTAGGTTGGCTTGAGTTCAGTACTGTTATCACGCATGTGAAGAACTCGCTAGTCTGCTACAATTTCAGTATTGTAAATGTACCAGCTACACACCTTCAACTACATTCTTGATGCAGGGATTATTGTTTCAAGTAGCATCTGTTCTCATCTATCCATTGGTGTGGTTTTGAAGACAGGAAATATTGGTAGTCCCATGGTAACTCATTCTATCCATTTTACCAATCTACTTTGAAATTAATATACTGTAGACATCAGGGATAACTACAATCTTATCAAAATCTCACCATTTAGTGACTTATTGCGAAATGTAACCTCACAATAAACATTCCGTTCATTTCCAATTATCTCCAGAGCTATGTCGGCCAGTATATTAGTATACAGGCTAGTTACATCAAAAATAAACATTTTGGTCACTTTCATCCAACCTATGCTTAAAGTTTTTGAGCATTCTACTGTGCGTAGAACTGAAAGCAGGTAGAATAGAAGTTAAGAATTGTCATACAGTGGAACAATATTATATACTGGATAATGTTTTGAACAAAAATTATCATCCATATTCCGTATTAGATAACTACAACTTTGATATATAGTTTATATAGTTCTTATCCTCTCTCACTCTTTGTGATAAGGATAGAAGAATTTTCTGTATATCTGGAACAGATGCAGAATCATTCTTACTGCATGTATTTGGTGTTGATTCAACGGACAAAGACCGGGTTATCAATGGTTCCCTGCATTCGACTAAGTGTTTGATACCGTCAATCTGGTCAGACTTCTCTCCACAAGCATAAGTAATGGAAGTAATAAAGGTGACAAAGTTGAGTGAGAACTCAAAGCCTATACTGTGTTACAACACAAAGAAAGCAACTGGAAAGCGTTTTGAAGATTTCTGAAAAAGGCTGAGATTACAGTGACATTTAAACCGGCAAAAACTAGCTTGGAAACAAGCTTTGTAGATTAGAAGATCTTACAGATCCAATTAAACATAACAATTTAGTTTACCAAATCTCTTGCAATGATTGCGAGGTCAAATAGATGTGTCAAAGTGTCGATCAGGGTTTATCAAATCAACAGAGCACGAATTCCTAGCTAAATCAAGATTAATAGATCTAAATAAGATAAGGAACTTCTAGAAAAGCTCGGCTATACGTGTGCAGGCAATCATACAATAGGGTAGGGCAGAATGATGGCATTAAAAATTAAATATGCGATTGAAACTTGAGCATAATGACCATTCACTACAGTGACCGCTTTCAGTTGTTCACACCAGTGTTTGAGATCGTGAAAAATGCTTCGAAAGTAGTGCACAAAACCACAGTATTTCTGTTACATTACGATAACCTGAGAAAAACCATTACGTTATTAGATGGCGTTGTTTTAATCGACTACTTTTACTGAATACCTTTCCCAGGATTCGTGTTCTTTGATACTTGTAATCTCCTGTTGCTCTACGGAGTCAGGCTGCTGAACCTTTGCCAGCAGATGGGCTTCTATGCAGAGGCTTAGATACTGTCTGATTACTCGTTGTAATCCCCTTGACGATTAGTAGCAGAATCTCGGGCAGTATCAAGGCGTTCACATATGAGGTAATTTGCTAATAGAGGTCGAGCAGTTCGACCCTAAATAGTGACATAAGACTACAAGTATCAAACAACTGATACCTGCTGCACAACAGTTGGCTGTCATGCCGCAGTGGATAATGCTTTGCCGTTTGAAGTGAAGGGCAATGGATACGAATCTCAGTGGGAACAACATCACACACTAAGGCATGTCCAGCTAACGAGTCCTAACTGGGGGCAAAAGTGCGTCCTGGATTTCACTGCTGAGTTCATGCGATTCTCAAAATGTTCTTAAACCTTGTGTGTATCGAATTCTTCATCTCAAATAATTACTCGACATCCTCGATATCCAACAACTGGCGGCCTGCTTGAACTCTGGGCTACCGTTTTCTGTCACCGAGTATATTGCATCAAATTTCTTATTTCTATACTCTTTTAATCGTTTAATTATGTCAACCAATCGTATTGTATATTCTCGTGCGTTTTTAAAATCATTACAACCTATCGCTTCGCAAGTTGATAGGAAATTTAAGAAGAAGCACCACGGTGGATGGCAACGAGCTCTGAAGCGTATGACCATAGATCAAATGACTATTCCGGAAATACTTAGCACAAACTGCAGGTCGTTGCCGAATAAAGTTGATTACCTTCAGTCACTCTTGTCCACAAATGTTTATCGAAACACGGGTGTAATAATGCTGCAGGAAACATGGCTTCATAATCTGTATGATGATGACTTAGTCTGCTTAGATGGTTTCAAATTATTTCGACAAGATCGAAGCTTTTCGAAGAAGAAATGTGGTGGTGGTGTAGCAACATTTATTAGTACTAACTGGTCGTCCTCCAACTATGTATGCTTCTGCTTCTCTAACGAAAAAATTGAGTGCATTACCATCAAATGTCGTCCCAAACATTTGAGCAAATACAAATACATATATATCACAAACATGTATGTCACACCTGACTGCAGTTTCTCAGATTTGTCAACTTTTGCTGATAAATTCACTGAATTTGCTGCTCCGGTTCTGGGAAACTCCTTGTCTATTGTCTGTGGTGATTTTAACTCATGTGACTACAGTTTTCTATTATCATTGGGTCATAAAAATATGGTTAACTTTTCCACTCGTCTTGACAACACCTTAGACTTTGCATTTACAAATGAACCTGGCATATATGAAGCCCGTAAACGGGCTCCACTGCTAATTCCGACCACTGTATCGTTCGTGTTTTGCCTAAAGTGTACGGAAAATTATACAAGAAAGCTTTTGCATACCTTTCAAGGAAAGTTCAATACAGATGCTATTCACAAGAAAATATATTACGTTTGAGAAGCATGCTTATAGAAACGGACTGGGATATATTTGCTGATGAAGTTTTAGACAACACTATTACCAATATCACAAGCTATCTCAGATTCTGTCTCGATATCTGCTGCCCTACTGAAACAATTTACATGAGATTTGACAGACTTTCCTCTCCTCATCTCAAGAGGCTTCGGAGAGAAAAGGAAAGGTTGTATAAGGCGAGAGATCACCCTGGCGTTAAAAGGCTTAACTGCCTAATTAAGTCTGAAATACAACGTCTGAATACTATATACAAAGAGAAGTTCTTATCGTGTAAGAACTCTTCCAATATATGGAAATTATTTAAAGAGCTTACTGGTAAAAAACAGATGACAACACAAACTCGTTCGGATGTCTGCGCGTTAAACAAGTCATTTATACGTCGGCAAGCTAATTTCACCCTTCCTAATGTGCAAAATCAAGTGGATAGCTGCTTTCCAGGTTTCAATACAAATGATGTATTTAAATGTCTAAAGTCTTTGAATCCCTCCCAAAGCTTAGGTCCTGATGGTGTTTCTAGTATCATATTTAGAAAATGTGCAGATATTTTGTGTCATCCACTTACAGATATCTTCAATGTATCGTTCTCTAAAAACATAATACCCACTGCTTGGAAGCAGATAAAAATTGTACCTGTGCCTAAGCCATCTTCTGGATCAGATGTTACTTTTCGACCCATCGCTATAACTTCCCCTTTTCTGAAGACAATGGAGAAATTACTTCTGCTTGTGATTGAGCCTTCATTGATGGCCTTCAGAGATCCAAAACAGTTTGCTTACAAACACCGGAGGAGTACTTTAGATGCAGCTACTGTCTTGCATCATAATATTGTTTCTAGTCTCGACAAAGGTGTTAAGTATGTCCGTTGTGCCTTTTTGGATTACTCATCAGCCTTTGACTCTGTTCCTAGACCACTTTTGTTAAATAAGCTTGCCATAGCTCACACTGATCCATGGGTTACAAAATGGCTGCATTCTTATTTTTCTGAAAGGAAACAGTACACTATTCATAAAGGGATGCGCTCCACTTCATTGCTTACTGAAGCTGGTGTGCCTCAAGGTGCTGTACTTTCTCCTTTTCTGTTTTCCTTTTTTTGCACGATTTGCCTTATTCTGTTGAAACTAATTTTATCAAGTATGCTGACGACCTGACGATTTCTATTCCAGTAAACTCTTCTTTGGATTGCTCGAAATTAAATGAATTCTTGTCTGAAGTTGGTAAATGGTCTCTCTCAAATGGTCTCAAACTAAACCCCTCTAAATGTCAGACCGTTAATTTTAGCCTCAGGCGTAAACAAGACTTATGTGAGCTGCTTAAATCTCATGACGCCTGCTGCATCAATGGTATTTCTGCAGAAAGTAAATCGAGTGTGAACTATCTTGGGTTGCGTTTTACTTCTGACCTTTGTTGGTCGTCCCATATTTTATTGACTTGTAAAAAAATCTTTCGTTTAACTTATTACGTAAAGAAATTGAGGCTTTCTGGTATAACTCAACTGCTTCTTTTACAATTTATTAATTCCTGCATTTTACCTATTCTTCTCTATTGTTCCCCATTAATCTTTCCTGGTCTTCTTAAAAAGGACTATGTTATGTTGCGTAGGGCTTTGAAGACCGTCAGCAGGGTGAGTGGTGTGTCTCTGGCTCAACTGATTAACACTGTAGTTGATCGACATATAAATTCCTGCAAGCTACTAGCTACAGAAATTTTAACTGACAGTGAGCATCCACTTCATTTACAGCTCTCTCCATGTATCTCCTCAGGGAGGACAAGGAGAAACTACATAAGACTGTATGCTCGTACAGCTAAGTATAAGAATTCGACTGTACCTTACCTTGCACGCATATTTTGTGAGGAAAAAAGTGTTAGAACAGAAATCACACATCAACTTTGTGACAGTTAAAAATCTCATTTCAATAATTTAACTTACAATGCAAAATTTTCTCGTTTTTAATATTCTTCACATAACTTAAATTTTTATAATAAAACAATTCAGAAGGCTGCAAAGTAGTATGTATATGCATATATTTTGTTGTTATTGCAATATATATTACGCTGAGAATTCCAAATTGTACCACAAATTGTTTGGAATAAAGTGAATTATTATTATTATTATTATTATTATTATTATTACTAGCCAAAGTTTGTTTCAGTATTCTTTAAGTAACAAAAAGCCAATTAATTCGTTTTAACAAAATTTATTTTTCAGAGTATTGATGATATTACCAAAAGATTTCAAAGGATGCCAAGTATATCAACTTCCATTCAAGTTACTGATCATAATAAATTGATTTCATCTGGAATTTGTAATACACAAGCTGTAAATAATCGATTAAACACAAGAATGAAATCGATAAAAGCAAAGGAATTTAGTTCTGAACAAAGTCATTTTAGCGAAACACCTGATAGAGAAAATTTAGATACTATTCATAGACATGAAATAGTTAAAGAGTAAGTCTTGACTCACAGTAATTAGAAAAGATAATTACCTTTTATAGATGTTACATTGGACTTTAGCGTAGGAGAATAATGCTTGATAGTTAGACATTGATCGATAACTATTGTATTTTAAATTTTAATTAACATGGGGTTTGTATACACACCAGAGTAAAAAGATTGGGTGACTTTAAAGACCATTCTAACAACTGCCAAAATAACCAATCAGGTTGCGTTGTTTGTGTTGGGAAGACAATTTGTCATAGAATCGACAAACGTGATTGGTTGTTTCACGAGTTCCTAAGGTGGCATTTAAAGTCACTCAAAAGATCACAGCTTACTATTGGTGGAGAATGAGGCTTTGTTTTAACGGCAACACTAGTCCATTCTATGTGTCACAGTATTGATGAGCAGCGTATCTAAGGTCAAGTTCTGCTGTTAGCACTCATCTTGTAGAGTGACTTAAAGGCGACACTAGCAACAACTGAAATAACCAATTAGACATCTCTGTTTGGTGAAGATCTCTTTCCAGAGGAAATAGAGAAACCTAACTGGTTATTTCGATTGTTGCTAGGGTGGCCTATGAAGTCATCACATACAAAATTAGTGAGTGACTAATAAAGGCCACTGATGAAACAACCAATCACGTTTCTCTATTCTGTTGAAAACGGGGGACTTTAAAGGTCACCCCGGCAACTGGTGTAATGACCAACCAGGTTTTGGTATTCTGGTTAGAAAGGTAGTTTTCCATAAAATGGAGAAAAGTAATTGGCGATCCTAACAGTTGCTAGGGTGGCCTTTAAAATCATCCTATTAAATTGTCTTCCCAGGCAGTATATTGCAACTTGGTTGGTTGTTTTGGCAGTTGTAAGGGTAGCTTTTAAAGCTGGGTGACTTTAAAGGCTACTCTAGCAACGATTGAAATAACCAACCAGGTGTCTTCATTTCGTCTGGAAAAGCAGATTTTCATAAAGTACGGAAGTCTAATTGGCTAGGGTGGCGTTTATAGTCGCTCAATGGGAAGGTAGTTTTTCATGAACGTAACTGGTTTTCTCACTAGTTGCTAGGGTGGACTTTAAAGTCATTGGAAATAATTCTTGTCTGTAATTTTATGGTTGGACATTATGATGTCACATGAAAAGCAACATAATAATGAAGATATGTAACCAGTAACTAATCCAAATACAAGAACTCTACAGGGTTTGTTGTAAGTACTTCTAGCATATTAGCTACAATATGAAACTGATTAGTACAAACTACTGACTAAAAGATTTTGTATGACAGTGAATGTGAAAAGGTTGACTGAATTTGATAGGAATCTTGGGGTACGATCGCACTTAAGGTACCTAGCCTTTTATTTACATGTAATAAATATATCAAATAAGGTCAAAAATGAAGTTCAAAATGAAGACTAGCAGTTAGCTCGGCGTGTAAAACTGTAACCTTTGATTTGAACTTATTCGTAGAAAATGAAAAACTCATCTTGTAGGAAACTTCTTCAGAGTGCTGAGTAGATTAAATTTTGAGTGCTGCAATCTAGGTTTTAATTCTCTTCTGTTAGCCATATTAGAAAATGATAGACAGAATTTGGTCAACACTCAGGGCTAAACAACATGAGATTGGTTGCTCTCCAGTGATCTATTATCAATGTATATAACCCATTACTATAGAAGATCAATCACTGCCGAACAGCTTAAGCGGTAAAGTGGCTGACTGCAACATTCGGTGGTGGGGGTTTGAATACCACAGAGAACATCAGTTCTGTCGAGGTTGCAGATATGCCTTGCTGATGAGTTCCAACAAACACAAAATCTAAGTTTAGAGGTTCTTGTAGATTGCCTCCAACCAACTGATTTCTATCAAAGTGCACTGCGACGGTAAACCCTCTTGATTGATGGCTACATGGCAAAATAACAGACAGAATTCGGTTACCACTTAGGATTAGGTGACATGAGATTAGTTGCTCTTCGGTGATCAATCAATGTACGTATACAGAAGCTAGTTTTCAAAAAAATACAGCTGTCTTATATTTATAACTTCATATGAAACCTCAAGAAGTCGAGTGAAGTTACTGAATAAGGAATTTGCATGTGGATCACTAAGCAATCCAGAGACTATATTTTCCAAATGTGATAACTGTCTACAACTCTAGTCTTGTATGTTTTGATGATTCTTACACTATTTGGGCTTCAATTTTTCTAGGTGCTGTCACTGCTTTATAAAATACTAGAACACTGTCAAATGCAATCTTCAGTGTGTAATCAGTGGTTACTCCAAAAAAGTCAGTTAGAGTGAACTATTCGAAACTGAGTGGGAGAGTAGTGGCGATCCTTTTTAAAGTAATTAAAACTTCTCCTTACTGTAAAATATTAATACCGTATGGGGTGAAACATAGTGTTGTTTAGTTTAAAATGGTTCTGTATTTGAGATCAGTCGTTGGTGAAAAGTATCTTTATCTGATTCGATTGTCAATTCAATACTTAGTCAACTTGTTATTTGTTTCTTTGAATAGAATCAATTCATTGCACAAACATTTATTTGTAGACTGACAATTGAAAAGGATGACCAACCTTCAGAAGAAATGGGAACTGTTGATGTGACAATTATGCGATCATTAATCACTGGAAACAATCATAAATATGCCATAGAAAAGAGTTATACAATCACGAATGAAATGAAGATTTTCCCAGTTGCTTGTCCAGTATTACTTCGATTATGGTTAAATGAAATAAAAAATCACAAATACTTTAAAAACTTAAATAAGTCGGATAAGCTTAATGAGGCTATATCTAAGTTTACTGTTCAAGTGGATCATGAAACAGAATTATTGGGAAAAGTTTTTTCGGAGGTTTTGTTCAATCCTTCGAAATTTGATGATAATCTACTATCAACTTTGACAACAATATCCAGTAAAGGTTGCCGGTGTAGTCGACAAATACCACCAGATATAACAGACTTAGAATTTGATATATTCTTGAATAAACTAATGTCTTCATATCAAGCTGTGGTGATTATGGTTTATGATTCCCGGTAAGTTATTCACTGTAAAACTAAACAACATGAAAATAGAGATATTGAAGACATATATTTCTCTCATCAGTTAAACAAAAACTTTCCGGACTTTAGACCTGTAAATGAGTTTAATATGTGAAAAATCAGTGAAGGCACGATCATCCAGCCAATACATATCAAATGGTAATAATAACAATAATAATAATAATAATCGCTTTATTCCAGACAATAATTTCCAAAACTTTATGAAATTCTCAGTGTGGTATTTCACCAAATCTACTCCCCGGACAACATTCTCAAATTGAAATAATCATGACAATTAAATAATGCTAATCATAACAGTATGAAACGTAGTTTGTTTTTAATTTGTCATCTAGTTAGTAAGTACATTGCTTCACCGAAGAACAACTAATAAGAAAGCATTCGTAATTTTTGTGGTGGAGGTTCATTCAAGCAGTTCCCGCTAATTATTCCCATAATAGCAGTATGTTGTATTGTTGTGCGCTCACAGGCACATTGCCGTCACCTCGGACGCCCAAATCGTCGTTTCTCATCTGGGTTCTACTCCACGGCCTGGCCTGACCTGGCACGTGATGTCTCCAGTCTGCCTTCACAGTGTATGCCCAATTCATCTTCACTTTCTTCTTCTGCATATTTGTTGGGTTATAGGCGCCCGATTTGTTCGTTGCCAGCCAGCCAGCCAGCTAGAGTTCCATGTTGCTTATTCTTATTATTCTGGCCATCTAATCGATATTCAGTATGGAGTGAGGGTAGGTGGCAGCTGTTCATGATGTTTTTCTGTAGTTTGATGGAAATGCTTTTCGTGACACGCCAAGTCTGCGAGCCATACAGAAGCACTGGCTTGACTGATGTTGGTGTTGAAAATCAGGATCTTGTTCACACTTTATGCTGAGTGAAGTAGATCTCCACACCCATCTCAGATTAGTGAAAGCCTGTCTTGCTGTCTTTCCGATCCTGGTCTCGACATCCTCGTCTCTGCCTTTACTGCCTGTGTTTGAATCGATGCTGCCTTGCCTAGGTAGGTGGGTGGGTGAAAGAGACTACTTCCTCTCAGTTTCTCTCGTTTATGGTGATTGGTGCCTCTTGTTGTTGATGCTGTTGTTGGTTGAATATCTTCATCACCTCTGTCTTCTCTACATTGACTTGAAGTCCGGTTTTCGCTGCCTCACCTCTTCTTTCAACTTGTTAGTATTTGCCTGTAGATCTTCAAGTATGTGTGACATTAGACATGAATCATCATCAGGGAAATCCGAATTTTCTAAGGTCTTTTCATCAATCCTACCAGCGTATGCCCATCTTTTCGCTCCTCAAGGTTTGCTGCATGATCCAGTCGACCACAATCAGGAAGATAATGAGCGACTCCGTTCTAATACAAATAGCTTAATATTCATAAAAACTAAGCCAATCATGTAGATTTGTCGGTTAGTGTGATGAATTTTGAAAACAACGATAGTGATAATAATACAAATAATAAAAATGATAGTGTCAACTAAAGTAGTTGTCATACGAACGATATGAACCAAGAAAGCACCATGAAAATGTAGACACTAGAATAATCAAAGTGGGTCAAAAGCTTGAGAAAATCAAAGTTACGTTATACTAAAGGACGAAGTAAGTGGATAAATAAAGTCGGAACAAATATAGTGAGTATATGAAAGGAGTAGGAGGAAATTTCAATGATAAAGAAGAGATAGGGGATGTGCAATCTTTTTCTTGTTACAAAGACTACAATTCGCAGCTGGGATTCCAAAAGTTTTTGCTATGTGTAAAACATGAGTTCAAATACCAATCGAAGATGAGGTAGTATGCTGTGAATAATCGTGAAAGAATTGTTCTTATCTACCAAGTGACCACTATAAGCGAGATGAGATAAAACTGAACTTCTGATAGATTTTATCTGTCTCTTTCTCCCAACCACGAAGGCAGATGCTCAATGAAACGTCTGTTAAGTTGTCTAGTACTACGTCCTATATATCTTTCTCCACTGGAGCAACTAAACTTGTATATACACATAAAAATGGCAAAACATATCTCTTATCTGAGCAACAACAATTGTTCAGCTGGAAAATGACAGACAAAGTTGTATAACATTGAAAGTCCTCTTAAAGTCTGTAGAGATTCTCTAATATGAAATTCCTCTGGCTACATTTTCATTAAATTTCAACTTTATGTATAATAGTCTCTTTTGTACTGTAATAATTCCAGGTTTACTTCCTCTCGCTTCGTCCATGTTTCTTTTTATGAAATTTTTAAGGGTAGCTCCTTTCGATCAATGAATTACGAATATATTCTAACTTATTTTGTATTATAGAAAAGGACAAGACGGTTTCAGCGAAGAAAAATTTTTTTCGTTTCGAAGAAGTCCAAACAAATTTCTCTAGCTCTGTTAGTGAGGCAATTTACCAGTTTTGCTTTGTAGTGAATGGGTACGGGACTAGGAAAGTGTGTGGCTAGGGAAAGCTTCATTAATAACTCTATCACTGAAATTCTTTCCTACCCCTTTCTTATTCTTCACCTCTTTCATATACTCACTATATTTGTTCAGACTTTATTTATCTACTTACTTCGTCCTTCGGTACAACGTAACTTTGTTTTTCTCAAGCTTTTGACCCACTTTGATTATTCTAGTGTCTACATTTTCATGTTGCCTTCTTGGTTCTTATCATCATTATCACCTGTATTGCAAGTGATTTAGTTAACGCTATCATTTGTATTATTTGTATTATTATCATCACCGCTAAGTTTAAAAAACTTACACTAGGTGATGTTTGAAGGTGATATGAAAATTTGGACCGCAGCCGAATTTGAACTAGCGACCACTAGGTTTACGGCCCGATACGGTGGTAATGCGTCACGAATTCACATGGTATTCAAGCGAAACCCATGGTGATTGAAGTGGGGAAAAAATCTGGTCAGCAGTCAGACTCCGTAGCTCAACTGGTACAGCATCGGGCCAGAAACCCGGCGGCCGCTGGTTCCAGTCCGGCAGCGGCCCAAATTTTCATTTCACTTTCAATCACCACCCAGTATAAATACCAGTCTGCCAAACCATTGCTGCTGTCTGAAGTAGTCAAAACGCTAAGACATTTATCAAGCTAACCGGTAAATTTACATAATTGAAGACATTTTAAGAAGGCGCAAAACTGCTTTTTAAGATTTGTTGACAATTGAACGATTAAAACAAGTAGAAAAATAGAGCTATTTGCTGCAATATTTTTGGGCACCCCAAAATATAAGCAGACCACATCAATAGGAGGGAACGCATATCGCAGTCTCGACTTCTGATCATTACCCATCACTACGATTTTTATGACTTTGGAATTAGGTTTACCTATAGTTTCCATAAGACCTTGCCTGGCTAACTAGTTAACTTGTTACTAGCCGGTCCTAAGCCCGGGTAAAGAGGGAAGGTTGGGCATAGGGCTAGCGACCCTACCCCGTTAAACAAATCTAACCGCTAAAGAAACTTCACAGCACAAACAAAATATAAAAAATAAAAACAGAATTACTTCTCACTGGAATCGAAGAGGCGAAAAGATGCCGATTGGTGAAAGCCTGCATTCGGGAAGCCAATTGGCCGATGTGTCTTCTCCCTCGATGAAAGCGAAAGTAAACGTGGGGACATGGAATGTCCGCACAATGTTTAAACCTAGCATACAAATCATGTGCGGATCAAATTACTAGGCTTCGCATCATCATACAACACAGCATAGAATGCCAGTCAACTCAATTCTACCTCAACTTCATCCACTTTGAAAAGGCCAGTCTTCGACAGCGTCGACCGAGAGGTGATTTGAAAACTGCTTCAATACTACGGAATACCGCAAACACTTATCAATCTCATTCAACGACTATATGAATATGCCACATAACAAGTAATTCACAATGGAAAGCTCAGTGATGCCTTCGAAGTGAAGACAGGAGTGAAACAAGGCTGCCGTCTACTATCAACCATGATATTCCTCATTGTGGTGGACTGGATCATGCAGCAAACAGTGAGGAGCGAGAAGAGCAGGATACGCTGGACCAGGGAAAACATCCTAGAAGATTTGGATTTCGCCAACGATGACTTCTGCCTAATGTCACACAAACTTGAAGATCTACAGGCGAAAACTAACAAGTTGACAGAAGAGGCAGCGCAGGGCAGGGCAGCGAAGACAGGACTTCAAGTGAACGTAGTGAAGAAAGAGGTGACGAAGATACCCAACCAACAACAACAACAAGAGACACCAACCACCATCAATGGGAGAAACTTAAAGGAAGTAGCCTTCTTCACCTATCTAGGAAGCACTGTTTCAACTACAGGCGGCACAGGCACACACGAGGGTGTCAAAGTCAGAATCGGAAAAGCAAGACAGCCGTTCATTAGACTGAAACCAGTGTGGAGATCTTCTGCACTCAGCATACAGCGTGAACAAGATCCGGATTTTCAACATCAACACCAGTCAAGTCAGTGCTCCTATATGGTTCAGAGACTTGGGGCGTTAAGAAAGGCACTTCCAACAGGCTACAGATATTCATCAACAACTACCTACACTGGCTCTACACTGAAGCTCAGATGGCCAGAATAATAGGAATAAGCAACAACGAACTCTGCCTAGCTGGCTGTTAACGAACCAACCAAGAACCTTAAACCCAACAAATATGCATTGGAAGGAAGTGGAGATGGATTGGGCATATACTGAGAAGACCATTCTGGGACATCACGCTTCACGCCAGGTACTCGAGTGTAACCCAGATGGGAAGCGACGAGTTGGGTGTTTGAGGCGAGAGTGACATGGAGGAGATGGTGTGAGGAAGAAATGAGAGGTTGTGGGCAGTCGTGAAACCAGGTTCAAAAGTTTGCAGAGAAGAGAGTGCACTGGAGACGTGCTACTGAAGCCCCGTGTTCCACTAGGAAAGCAAGGGACAAATAATATAATAATAATGTAGTAATGATTTAGTTCATAGGCAAAAGGTATACAGCACTTGTCCTACATATGCTTATTATTTCCATATCCACTAATCAATCAATATCAACATAGGACCAGGCATTATTGCGTAACGGTCCGAGCCGCCACACCTCATATCACTACATCAAGTAAAAAGGTAGTGAGGTGAAAGATAAAGGTAAGAGAAGGCAGTTAAAATAAATATAAAGTACTAAAAGGGAGAAATGAAGAATGAGAAAGTGGTGGGATTCGGTATAGCGTAGTTAAGATGACGATAATGTCTGTTGGAATACATCTGCGCCATTCACATCGCTTTTCAGCCATGTCATCACCTAGAGTCTCCAACCACTGGTTTCTCTTGTCTCGTGGGTCCAATCCACCTAGTCTACATGGCTTAAACCAATAGTCAGAGACTTTATACATTGGTGCCATGTTTTAGTCTGGCCACCTCGAGCCTTTTTCCAGCCTGGACCCACCCCAGCCAACATTGTGTGATGAGGCAAAAACGAGAAACAAGAAAGAGAGGAAATGAAAAACATTATGCAAATGGATATCCCAATGGAAAGTGTACAATATTTCATCAGTAATGTAGAAAGTGTCATAAGAGACAAGTTTCTGCGTTTCATCCTTTGCCATTTTCTTACACTGGTAGTCAGATTTCACATAATCGAATGAAACAGAGCCCCTTAGATCTCATTAGTTCTTTAACTAAGTGTTCATTTGTGATCAGAATCATTTCCGAAGCAATCACTTCCAAATCGACCTGTTTAAAGCATCATTTAAGCCATTACATTACTGTGTATTATGTTTATTTATACTCAGGTTACCTGATGGTGAAACAGTTGGCATATGTGGTTTGCTCCGAAAGTTGTATATGAGACAGCAATATAGTGTACCAACAGTTCGTCACATGTTATATGATAAAAATTACTCTCGGAGTGCACGTGAGAATCAGCCAAGACTATACGGTGGATACAAAGTTGCAGGTACTGGAGCATGCGCATCAATATCTACGAAAACAGCAGATTATCGTTTTATGAGTTATGACCTAGCACAGAATATGAGCAAAGATGAACAGATTTCTGCCCAAGAACAACCATTACTGCTAAGAAGATATCATTCACGGCCAAAACCTGGAGATTGCTTAATCTTCATCGAAGGAAAATTATGTTTTATCGGTTCATCACTTACAGGCTATGAGGAGCTACCATGGACAAAAGAACAGTTGGATAGAAAAGTACTTCAATGCAGAAATCAGTTGATGACACAAGGATTTTCTTTACCAATTGATTTTCAATTTTTTTAATGAACATCCATAACAGACGTTGAATAAAACGTTACTTCACAATTTTGACTCTAATAAAATATGAAAAATAGTTCGGAAAATTAATTTCGGGTGGACAATAGGTTTCAATTATTATTGTTATCCATCGATGAAGATGTGATAAATTATACATATTCCTGAAAATTATATGGCTTTCTTGTACAAACAACTAAGCACGTGAAATACAATACACATTACATAATCGAAGAGCCTGCTGACGACGAAATTATCACAACTAAGTTTCTGAATTCAATAACATCAGATCAAAACAAGGATACCAAGTTACCTGGTTTACGTTGGAAACAAAGTCACTGTCTAGTCAGTCAGCATCCACGTGTAAACTGGCATGACTGTGTAACGGTCCAAGTTGCCATACCTTATCTAAGCACATCTAAGTAGTAAGCAAACATATGAAAAAGGGCGGAATAAGGTAATTGTAGGTGACAGAAGGTTGTGAAAAGGAAAAATTAAAGAATAAGCAATAATAAGTTTCGGTATGAAGATTAAGATAATGGTGTGAGTGCATCTATTCCACAGAAATCAGTTCTGAGTCATATCACACACGCCATCCCGGTTGCCACGCTGACCCCATACGGGATGTCTACATTTCCGTACAGTGATCGGACAGATAATCAGGGACTTTGTAGACTTATGCCACATATTAGTCTGGGAGCCTTTAACCTTTTCTCAGCCTACACCTACTTGGCTCAACATTGCATGGAGGAACCATTCTTGGGCAGTGCTGAACAACTATATAGGTTTATTAAAGACAATGGAACGAAGAGATAATGGTCTGTGAGATTATTGCTAAGGAGGATGAATCCTTGATGAATGTACTCCAAATTTTCAGGGTCTGACATCCTACATCGAAGGCGCTTTGTTGACTTAAAGCATATGGATTAAATAATTTTGCTTGATGAATATGCTAACAAAATGCAGTCTTCTGATCGCCTTCAGCAAAAATGAGTATGCTTGGTTGCCTTAAGAACCTGTCAAATATATGGATAGGGAAGGAAGTGATCAAGCGCACTGACCACTTTACTTACCTGAGTAGTCGCATGAAGACTAATACACTGGTTGATGAGATCTCAGTTGCGATACTAAAGACCAACTTCTACTATCTCCAGTGACGGTGAGAAACGCTTCTAGCTATCATACGACAAGTAGGCTACTCAGCAGCCAGTTTTATCCTCCGTTATTAATATGAAAATAGAGGTAAGGAAGAAACTTGAAGTGTTTGATCATAGATGTTTCTGTGAAATTATTCACCTGGGACAGAATGAGGAAGTGAGCAATATTGAGGGTGAACGAAGAGTACCACATAGGGAAGTCAAATAAGTTTAGGTGACCGTAAGTGTTCACCAATTGAAGTAGCTGGAGCTAATGCTGCGTATACTGAGACCGTATCTATGTGCAGTTTTAGGTGAAGTAGAGATAGATTACAAAAAAGGGTGGATAATTTGATAAAAACACTTGCTTTGAGCAGTGATTATCTAGGTGAAGGCCTTAATATCTAGAAACCGTTAATGCCAAAGCTGAAAATCGATTACAATGGTGCAAATGCAACCACTCCTTATCATCTTCGAATTTCTAAACAAATTTATTCCCTCACCTGTCAAACGATTTTCTTTAATATCACTTTTTCAGTTGCTCTCTCTCTCTCTCCTTCTGTAACACTGTGAAGTGTGGTAACTGATACATTTTTGAACAAGTTTTGAAGTCGATCTACCTGTGTTCTTATGCTTTAACTTTAGAAGACATGGATAATGCCATAATTTCAAGAAAGGAAGTAAATTCCAGCAAAAAACAATATACTAATGTTGTTGCTTGTGTTATTCCGTCGTTGAGTGAACCGAATTGATCGGTCTCCATTGGTGTATGCGCTCCTGAGCAGATGTCTCAATATTGCTTGTTTTTGGGTTATATATTAATGATAGAAAGTGGCTGGCAGTGGGATCCAAGACGCAAGTTCTGTCCTATTCGGAACTCGTCAGCCGGATGTATTTGCCTCTCGGTGAGTGATGTTGTTACGGACAGAACTCGAACTTGGAACCGATCACTTCAAAAGCCAGAGCGCTATCCACTTGGCCACCGAGTCAAGAAAGCCACTTCCTGTACGAAAGGTATAGTTTTAATGTTCTTGTTTGTATTATACCGTCGTTGGGTGAATGAAATTTGCATAAATTCATTTTGGAGACTGGTTTCAAGTTAGTATTCATCATGGACTAACATCAAATGGAGAATCACTCCAAACCTGGGCAGCTGTTTCGTCCTGGTATGGACTCTTCAGCAATGTGGACTCATAACCACGCCAGTAGTCGAATCCAGGATCGTTATATTTCACGGCGAGCATGTCAACAATGAGCCACTGGTCAGAACCCAATGATCCACATTTTCTATGTTTTTTTCAATTCATAATACAGCGCCAGCATCATCCAATAGCATCTACGAGTATTTCTCATCACACCCAACTTGTTTGACCCCACAGGTCATGGTACTTCATTTGCATGGACTAACCTTAACAATCCTTTAAGATGAGAAAAGCAACCCTACATCTGTCTCACTTGAAGAAGCTGAGGTATAGAAAACTCTCAGTCAAAAAAGACTGTTAAATTATTAGACAATTTCATATTACATTTTATGTCCATAGACTATTTCCTATCAGAGCAACATTCACTCGACCATGCTGTATTACGGGACAATTATTCCCAATACCCTGACGATGGGATATAAAAAATTAACTTATTGAATCTGCGTTTCATGACTATGTATCACAGCTGGGAAAGGATTCAGAGAAGACTGGTCTGCAGCATATTTATACATTAACCTTCCTTAACAATCATACTCCGGCCGCTTCATGCTTGGGGTGAGTTGTTTAGTTGTCAATTCAACATTCTGTGCATACACTTCACCCATTACAAATGCATACGAGCTGATTCAACTCTTCAAGTAGATAAACTAGTGAAATAATTCAACTACTTTCCTTTTCAAGTTTCACTTCAAAAGACAGCATCCACCCTTAGTGTTACAGTTGCATGTATACTCAAATGGAGGATTTTCGCCTAGTAATATCTACCCTCTATTTAGATAGATTGGATACCTCTAAAAGACGCCGTTGGTTGTTTTTCACCATCAAATCGGAAAATATGACTAATTGTCAAATTGGAGCTGTGGTCAAAAGTTTTAGCGGGCTGACTATTTGTGCCTCTGGGTCACGGGTTCGAGTCCGACCACACCTACTAAGGTTTAGGCAGTCGGGTGGTGTCACTAAACCTCACACGATAGGTATGGTTCATTGCCTACTGAACAGATGTCCACAAGATGGATGAGTGCTAATTGTCAAATTAACGCGAATAAACAAGAGGTGAAACCGGTAAAATATAATTATTGATATCTGTATGTATCAACTCATAGATAATGAAAAACAAAAAGAATCATTTATATCACATAAGTAGGTTCAAAGTTAACGGAGAAAGGCAGCAAAAAAAAGGGTATTCACAACATTCAGTCGATGTAAAGAAGATTAAGTGTATGATAAAGGATTGAGTAAATATATTCCTAACAGATTAGTTGGCTGTTCGGCCATGTTTTATAGTTCAGTGATATAACATCATGTATATACTCAGGATATGTGATAGAAACAAAGTCAATCAGTGTAATATTAACACCATAGGGTCCAGCAAAACGATTAGGTTTATTCAGCCATTCTTTAAAATATTTTCCAGCAATTTTAGCCAATTGGTGAACTGAGCTGAACGGATGACGCAAGAGAAATGTTACTGTTGGAGTGAGAACAGCTTGATATACACAGAAAATATCATCTGGTCTTTGTTGATGAGACCTGAAAATAGGTGGATAACACAATTTATTGGACAATCTTATAGAGAAAACAACAAAACTATAGTAAACTATAGTTAATGGAGATAATCCAACTAAATAAGAGAATACTAGTGACGAATGTCGGATAGCATATAAAAAATCATATGTTCCCATCGTATCACAGGTGCACGTTATGGCTGAAAACGCAAAACTGGACGTGTTAATGAGACACGTTTTACCAATCATCAACATACACTTTATTGTGATGATATTTGTAATTTCCCGTAGCTATATAGGGCCAAATTCCTCGACCTCTGCTGGCAGATAGGCTCCTTGTAGATGACTCGACATTGCAGGATATTCATGATGGTATAATGATCTTGGTGACTAGCAGAGGAATCCAGGACGTGCGTTTTATCCTACTTGGGACTCGTCAGCTCGATGCACCTGCTCCCCAGTGAGGGATATTGTTCCCACCGGGGCTCGAACCCAGTACACTTCGCTTCAAACACCAGAGCGTTATCCACTTAGCCCCTAAGGTACGACAGCCACTTCTCGTACAACGGGCATTATTACAACGACAGACACACGTTGCACAAGAGGTGATTATCGTGCCCCAGTGGCTAAGTGGATAACGCTTCGGCGTTTAAAGCGAAGCGTACTAGGTTCGAGTCTCAGTGGGAACATTATCACTCATTGAAGTGCAGGTAGATTCGACTGATGAGTCCTAAATAAGGCGAGACGCACGTTTTGGATTCTTCTGCTAACCACTAAGATCAATGTAAAGTACATTTTGTTTTCATGAATGAAAAAGCTTAATTTTGACTTCATATTTTTCCTCCTGTTCACTATACCGGACCGTATGGATCACAATTAATTAGCACTTAGGCATCCTTTTACGGTTGCCTCGATATTTCCATGCATCTTATTTTGATGTTATTGATTGAGTACCTTAGCCGATAACGCTCCAGTGACTGAAGCAATAGGTGCCAGGGTCGAGAGAGAACACTCCCATTCAGTTAAGGAGTTCCAAAAACCACGGAACATGAATCCTACAGTTAACTTCTAACCACCAGTAAACATCAGTTTGCTATATAATGAGAACAGATGAACATTTAGTGTTATTACTTGTATTACACCGTCGTTGACTGGACCGAACTGATCAGTCTCTGTTGGCATATGGGCTCCTGTGCGGATGCCTCGATATTGCCTGTCTTTTAAATATGTACAGTAATGATGGGCAGTGACTAGCAGTGGAATCCAGGATGCGCATTTCGTCCTATTTGGGACTCGTCAGCTGGATGTACCTGCCTCCCAGTGAGTGATACTGGTCTTGCTAGCCACTGCCCATCATTACTACACATAGTTAAAAGACAGGCAATATCGAGTCATACGCATAGGAGCCCATATGCCAACAGAAACTGATCAATTCGGTCTAATCAACGACGGTGTAATGCAAACAATAACACTAAGCCTATACCTGTCGCACAAGAGGTGGCTATCGTGGTTCGGTGGAGTAGTGGATAACGCCCTGGCGTTTGAAGCAATAGCTCCCGAGTTCGAGTCCCAGTGGGAACAACACCACTAACTGGGAGGTAGGTGCATCCAGCTGATGAGTCCCAAATAGGACGAAATGCGCGTCCTGAATTCCACTGCTGGCCACTGCCCATCATTACTATACATAGATGAACATTTAATTTGCCACTATTTCGAAACACAAAATGGTAAGCACATGAATTTAGATGTCATCTTCATCACGTTATGTAGCAGCAAAACATTCACAGAAACAGATTGCTTGGGCACATAACAAACGTAGTTAGTCAATAAATAAATAATAGTAATAGTAATAGTAACAGAACCACAAACAGTTCCTTCTATAAGGATATCATGTATGCCTGTAGTGAAGTGATTACCAATATTATAATTCTAAAGCTGACGAGAAACAGTGAGATAATAAATAACCCAGTAGTCCTATAGTTACGGCAGCTTAGAATAGTCAACTAGTGGCAAGACGCTATACATAAAAGTGAACAAACTTGTCACTGAGCCAGTATAGATATAAGTAACCTAAACCTGTACACCCAATTCTGTGAGTACATACTATCCTATTATAAGTAATTTGTTTTAGCAGCTACCATCATAGTATATTTTGTTGACAGATTACTCTGACAGCTATCAAAACGAATCGACGATTTGAAGTCTGTTACGAAGTTGTGTACGGTAAGGGTACCTAGCCTATCAGATATGTAGATGGCGTTCATGTAACTACATGGTACCAGATCTCCATGGTCGATGGGATAGTAAATGATCTTATGGTTGTGTGCTATTTGTAATCATTCTGCCCTGCGTATATCCTTACCATTACCGGCCGACAGCTGCTACTCTGATGTGGTGGTCAGACTTGTGTATCACAATGATCCAACGAGCTACACTGGCTGGAATGTTTGTTCTCTCGAGGTCCTACCATGCCAGAAAAGTCTGCTGGATAGTCGTAAGACGAAAAGCAGTTACTGTTGTAGTGTAAACTGCTACACTATGATGGTTTGAGGGCGAAGTTATACTGCTGCTAGCTGGATGCGGTGTAACATCAGTAAGGTTTCCCTTGGATGACCAGCAGTGCCACACTGATGCTGCCTTCTCAATACACGGTGGGGTTAGAAAAGGTTGACCCTCAAAATAACACACTCTATCCTGCTCCATGGTATTCCGGTGCCGGCTGTATGGGTTCTCTCTATCCGACGTTATAGCAACAAAACCTCAAAACAATAACCCATAAAATGCCTTATGTGAGGGGCCTCAAGCAGCTATCTCATGGGCTCTGGGGTCACATAAGCCTTTTTCTCTTTCAGGTATCTTGAAAAGAAAGTGGACTTCCACGGTGTGGGTAGCCGGGGAGTATCAACAACTCACACTCTTCCAACAGTACACAAAACCCAATCAAGCATAGCATATCCTTCTCAATTGTCTCCTCATTTGCCTTCGCCTCCAAGAACTAATGTTAGGCCTCTTACACCTAACCTAACTTCTCACTCTACAACCACTGCCAACGACCAAAGCAATCGAAACTTCATTTCTAGTCGATGAAGACCGCTCCATCGATTTCACATAGGAGCTTTCAATGTCCGAACTCTATGCCATATCAGACAGCGAGCAAAACTTTGGAATCTCTAGCCATGGATGTATGGTTTATCTCCGAGACAGGTATATAGGACTCCGGTGTGGTTATTAGATTGACCTCACCTGGCCATTGTAAGGAATCTTCAAAATCCACCTTACAAATATCCAGAGATCCAATGGCTAGCTCTCGTAGACTCGCTGGTGTATGCACGGCATTGAGCTGTAGAGCAGAGTGTACTCCTCGACTGGATACCGGTCAACACCCACCTGAGTGATGTTCGACTCTGTAAGGATAAGGAAGGATCGTGAAACTAGGCGATGCCTATTCGTGTTTTCCGCCTACACATCCACCGACTGTAGTTCGGATGACGCAAATGATGAACTATATGAGAAGTTCTCAACTTTGCTGCAGAAAGTGAAACATTCAGTTGTAGTCATAATGGCAGGTAAATTTGACGCTCAAGTAGGGAAGCTGAACCAATTGGAAAGGCATATTGGAGGTATTTAAAAAACCCTATGCCAACGAACGGACGGAGATGATTGCCTGTTGCAAAGTTTCTCCAACAATCACTTGTTTCTGGTCAGCACTAACTTTAGATAAAAGGAGAGAGATCTTCTCCTATGGTGTCTGCCGACATCAAACCAGCGATGGAGATAGATACATCATATTGCTATAAGCCATCGTTGGAGAGGATCCGTGAAGGATTGCCGCTCTTCCTACAGTACCAGTGTGGACTCCGATTAAACGTTAGTACGGGCCTGTGTATGCCTGTGTCATGGTTCATTCTTAGATGAGGATACCAAATACTTATTCACGGAGGAGTTGGTCAAGCACTTATCTGAACGTGACAGCAATGCTTATCCCGAGGAAACCTGATGTGATATTAGGTCTGCTGTAGAAACGGAGGTAAAGACAAGTTTCAACCTACACCAGAAGGTTAGCGAACGGTAGTGGATTTCCGAAACTTCATCCGAACTGAGAGATGACAGAAGACTTATTTCAGCTGGTTGCCGACGGTAAATAGCGAAAGCAACTCAAACATAAATTGACCAAGAGTCTTCAGCGTCGATGGCGAGCAGTGGTGGGTGGTGAAATCGAAAGAGATGAGTAACACTAGGAAACTATTTAGTCTTAGTAAGGATACCGGCAAAAAGAAGACGATGGTGAGTGAAATCACCATCTAAAAGGATAGAATGCTGAAAACCTCTGATGATAGAAGGTTAGAACACTTTGGAACACAGTTCAACTGGTCATCAGCAACGTTTCAGTTGCCCAACACCCAGCCTGAACCTGAATAGAAGGTGGATGTAGCTCCTCTAACTCTCCATTGTAGTTGATCAAGCTGTATCGAACCCGAAACGATCAAAAGCAGCACGACCTGACAGTTTGTCACCTGAAATTCCAAAGGAAAAAGATGGGAAATCGCTAATGAAAGTGACGGAGGTACTAAGAAGTGTATGGGGATCAGATGTAGTGCCGTCAGAATAGTCTACATCACTGATCATCCAGGTCTACAAGATGGGAGAGAAATCTTCGTGTGGCAACCACAGAAGAATTAGTTTGACTACTACTGTATGCAAGAACCTAGGCTCCATAGTCATCCCACGAGTAACTGAAATTAAAGAAAAGCAAACACGAGAAAACCAGGCAGTTTTCAGACCTGAACGGGATTGTATCAATCACATCTTAATCTTTCAGTGAGTCTTGGAACAAAGGCACATCACCGGCACATGAATCTTACTATGTTGATTGGTCTGAAGTCGGCATGACAATGTCCATCGCAACGTATTGTAACAGTGTCTGACGATGAACACAGTACAAAGAAAGTATATAAAGGAAATAAAAGCCATCTACTCGAACTTATGCTGCCACCTCAGGTTTCATATCACACACAGTTGTCCTGTGAATTAACCACAACTAGTGATGTTCACCGTTCAAAAGTTTGCAGAGAACAGAGTGCACTGGAGACATGCTACTGAAGCCCTATGTTCCACTAGCAAACCAAGGAACAAATAATAATAGTGATGTTCACCAGGGATATCCACTGTCACCCTTCCCATTTAACTGTATCACACACGTACTAATAGACATAACCCTTAGTTAGGTACGATTGACTTCATACACATTGACCTACCACCTGAAGGTTATCTGGTTGACTCGGAATAAGCAGACGATTTTATCTTCCCCGATGAAGGCGCTGACAAGATGCACTTATGATCTTCTGAACGCACTAAGCAGAAATCCAAACATGTTTGACCAGCATGCGTGTCACACAGGTCAAATGTAAGATGATACTCCTAGACTGGCCTACTGCAAGTATTCTCACCTCAATGATGAGGAGAGAAATCGTGGAAAATGTCGACCGCTTCACTTACTTACGGAGTCGCATTAGCCCGCCCGAATCGACTGGTTGCTGACCAAATATCAGCTCAGATACACAACGCCCAGTCCACATTTGACAACTGGCGTCATCTGCGGTGCTGGCTGACGAGATATTCGATTGCCTATAAAACGATGAGTACACTCAGCTGCACGTCGTTCTGTCCTGTTGTACAACTGTGATACATGGTCATTAAAAGTCAATATAGGGTTTCGACTACATATATTTTCGTGGCATTGCTCGTGTTCTGTGGAACCATCGTGTGAGCAACGCGGAGGTCAGGTGAAAGGTATTAGGCAAGACAGGCAAGTCGATTGATGAGGTTGTCCACCCTAGCCGACTGAGATGGCTTCCACATGTACTGAGCATGCCGAACCACTCATCGCCTACTTCAACGTAGCATCCTAGGGAAAGTTGAATTACATGTTGGAAGACGATTCAGAGTGGCCATCCACAGAAGTCTCTTTATGCTGACCTGAGCCATGTGGAGAGATGTAGACTGTCTGGTTAGGGTCTCCGAGACCAAACGAATCAGTGGTTGACGACTCATCGTGACATGGCTGAAAATCGGTCACAATAGAGCAGATGTTTACACCCTTTGATGACTTCTAAACCTTGAATATTCACACTTACCTTTATCTTCAGATTGTTTTGTCAGTCAGTCACTTGTGTAAAGAAAAATTTATAACAGGGAATAAAGTTGTGATGAACATACATGTATACTAAGGTAAATAAAGCTTACTCAGTATGTTTATTTAGAAAGGAAATCATGACCAGGGGATCAACTGTTTCAGGCCAAAATGATTTGATACAATTGGAAGGCCAAAACTTCATATGAATTCTCTCATAAAACTTTCGATGACAAGATATGAATATGATTTGCTTTTTAGCACTCCAAATATCTTCTAAAGTTGGAATCGTCTGTTGATGAGGGAACATACTGAAACCTATAATCTATGCAAGCAAGATAAAGAAAGATGTTATATGACAAATTATTAAAACATTTTAATGAAAAATTATCTCTGGGTAGATAGAATCAATCCTCTATGCATTTTAAAGGCCACACTAGCAACAACTAGAATAGCTAATCAGACTTTTTTATTTTATGAAAATCTGCCTCTCCAGCCGAAATGAAGAAACCTAATGGGTTATTTAGGTCTTTGCTAGGGTTGCCTTTAAAGTCAGGGGCATTTTCAGTAACAAATTATCATTTTCCTCTGACTCCCTGTATATTACATTTTCTCCCCTTGATATTTATTGCTGAGGAAATGTGTTTACTAAAACTTGAAAGCAGTTACAAATGCATCCCCAAAAAGAAAGTAGGCTTAAACGGATGCAACTGTAAGATCACCTAACATGATTATATCGTCGGAACACCTACATACGGCATACATAGGAGCCCAGTCAATTAGATATCAAGTATTGCTGAATTTAGAACCACGACAAGTCCATCTTAAAATTCATAGGAAGAAAACTGCAGAAGACAAAAGTCACTAACACTGACCTCAAACTTTATTAACTCCAATAGTCTCTAAATGATTAGGGTTCAAGGAAATATGTCATTTATTATGTTACATATGAACAGATATAGAAATGACAATAGAAGAGAAAGCCAGATTACACAAAGTTAGCATAAAAACTTCCCATACGTAACATGAAACAGGTTAACCAATCTAAGCTTAAATTTACATTGACTGGTTACTGGAAAGTAGCCAATTCCATATTGTCTAGCTTCTAGTGATGACTTAGTCCAATTGATTATCTGACTATGTGGTCACCGTATTAGGATAATCACCATTGCGGTGCACTCTGATTAGATGTGATCGCCAGGGAGTCTAGGACCCAGGTTTTTATACTTGTCAACACTCCTAAGCAAGGTTTATTTGAAACATTGAAGGAATTCATATCATCCAGTACTGAAAAAGATCCTACCACTGGGTTGATCAAGCAGCAATATACAGATACAGTTCGATTGACATAAAATTGGTTAACCTAAGGTTAACAACCACCACTGTGAGCAAACCGGTCTTAAAAAACGTCAAAGGCTTCTTGTCAATCACCTTCAACCATCGTAATAAATTTAAGTGTGTATGATTTTAAGTCATCTATAATGATAGCTGAAGTTCATGACCATTCACTTGTCACCTTTAGGGATATCTTGATATTTTAATTGGTTGTAGCTAGCAGAGGAATCCAGGACAGGCGCTTTATCCTATCCACAACTCGTCGTCTGGATATACCTGCTTCCCAGTAAGTGATGTTGTTCCCACTGGCACTCGGACCTAATACCCATCGCTTCAAACGCCGCGGAGTCACGAAAGACACAAGCAACTAAATTATAATAGTAAATGTTCAGGCAGTATCCAGGCATCCACATAGGAGCCTATATGTTAACAAAGGTCGATTAATTCGATCCAGTATGACAACAGAGCATCACAAGTATATCAACAAGTAGTAACATCTTGATACTGTTTAGACTTAAAGCCATCGACCCAAAATTACAGAAAACACTCGACAAGAATCAGCTCAGAGAGGAAAAGTGAAGTAAAAGGGTGCTAGCATACCACACATCCTTCAATCCTAGGATCTGTAAACTTTGCTGTGAAACTTAGATCTCAGGTAGAGTAAACTAGGGAGCGATTCCGGTGGGTTGAAGGCATTTCAAACAATCGTCCACTCTTCAAGCAAACTTAGGGGTTTTCATAAGAGCTCTAATGAAAATGTCACTTTATCACCTTTTTTCTGTACAGGTTTATCATCTTACTAAGAGATTATACAAGTTTACTGTTTGAGGTCACTAAGTCATATGGTATTCATTGTCTGCATTCAATCTGGAGCAAATGCGAACTACTTTATGTATGAAGACAAACAATCATGATGAAAAAACCCAGAGTTCTAAACATCTCTTTTTATATCGGTAAATAGGATGTATCTAATAAAGCCTATAACCCAAAATTTTGGTTTATACAGTTATCAAACTATTACAAGAGAGTGAATTGATTGAGTGTGACGACCACTTCACTTACCTGAGAAGTAGGATCAACCCTGGTGGCTCAGTGACCGATGAAATCTCTTCACGGATGCGATAGGCTCGATTGGCTTTTGCCAATTTACGCCACCTATGGCACCGCCGTGATATCCGATTGTCTACCAAAGGTCGCGTATACTGTACAGCACTCAGGTCTGTTCTACTGTATGGCTGTGAAACATGGCCATTGAATGTGGAAGACATGAGAAAGCTGGCTTCAAGTGTTTGACCACCGTCGCCTTCGTAGTATAGGCCGTCGTATTCCGTGGTGTCACCATGTGAGTAACGCCGAAGTCAGGAGTAGAGTTTTAGGGAGAAGAGGTAAATCAGTAGACAAGGTTATGAACCTTCATCGACTGAGATATTTGGGACACGTACTACGTATGCCTAGTCACCGATTGCCTCGTCACACAATGTTGGCCGAAGTAGGTCCAGGCTGGAGAAAGGCCTGAGGTGGCCAGACTAAAACATGGCACCAATGTATGAAGTCTCTGACTGTTGGTTTAAGCCATGTAGGACGATGTAGACTAGGTGGTTGGGGTTTGCGGGACAAGAGGAACCAGTGGTTGGAGACTCTAGAGGATATGACTCAGAACCGATGTGAGTGGCGCAGATGTATTCCCACACACATTATCCTCATCTTGAAGACGCTATACCGAATCTCTTTTCTTTCTTCTCGTACTTTATATTTCGTTTAACTGCATTCTCTTATCTTCATCCTTCACCTCACTACCTTTCTACTTGATGTAGTGATATGAGGTGTGGCAGCTCGGACCGTTACGCAGTAATGCCTGGTCGATGCCTAGGATGATCTGGATGGATGGATGGATGGATGCAAAGATGATTGCTTGAAGATAAGCATCGACACTATATTATATTTCAGATGCTATAAACAAATGTCATAATATAAAACCTTGTATCCGTCCGGGAGAAAGATTAAAAAAAGAAACACAACTGATCTATTGCGGCCAACAGCGATTCCTATTACCTAGATTCTGTAATCACTGACAACATTCAGTAATATGTCAACTTCAAACAAAATTATACCAAGAAAACCATGTACTGAGATAAACAGAACCATATGGTACATACAATTCGACGTTTATCAAACTACAGAAAGGTTAGATACTCGGTATTAGTTTCTCTTAAACAATCAATCCTGACAACCTATCACTGCATATATATATATATATATATATATATATATATATATATATATATATATATATATATAACTAGTTCACTAGTTACTAGCCGGTCCTAAGCCCATGTAAAGAGGAAAGGTTGGGCATAGGGCTACCAACCCTACACCACAAAACAAATCTAACCGCTAAAGAAACTTCACAGCACAAACAAAATATAAAAAATAAAAATAAAATTATTTCTCGCTGGAATCAGAGAGGCGAAATAACGTCAGTTGGTGAAAGCCTTCGGGAAGCCAATCGGCCGATGTGTCTTCTCTCCCTCGATGAAAGCGAAAGTAAACGTGGGACATGGAATGTCCGCACGATGTTTGAACCTAGCTGGCAAGGCAGCCCAGATTGCAAACGAGATGAAGAGGTATCACATTGAAGTGCTTGGAATCTGCGAAAGCAGATGGAATGGGAGTGGACTCTCCAAACTGTCAACTGGAGAAGCAATAATCTACTCCGGTCACCCAGACGACAACCACAAGCACACTGAGTTATGGAATGGCTATCATGATGTCCCCAAGAGCATTGAAGGCTCTCTCTCTCATGCAGTGGGAACCAATCTCCTCCTGCAGGATCATGACAGCGAGGTTCAACTCAAAAGGAAGGAAGGTCACAATCATTCAGTGCTACGCTATGCACCTACAAATAATGCAGAGCAAGAGAAAAAGAAGGAATTCTACAGACAACTTCAATCAACACTGGACAAGACCACACTGCAGTTGGCAATATCAAAATTCTAATGGGTGGGGCGACATGAATGCCAAACTGGGAGGGGACAACACACGAAGAGAACTAACCATAGGTCGAGAAGCGCTCGGTGAGGTGATGAACGAGAATGGAGAACTGTTTGCGGAATTCTGTGCATTCAACGATTTGGTGATTGGAGGCAGTGTGTTCAAGCACAAGGATATCCACAAAGCGACATGGATTTCATCAGACACAAGGACACACTAAAAATCAAATCGAGTTTATCTCAATCTCAAGAAAATGGAGACGCAGTCTACTTAACACAAGGTCAAGAAGAGGAGCAGACATAGGTTCAGACCACTCACCATCTAGTGCAAGGAACCTTCCAAATCAAGTTAAAAGCCTTCAAGGAAGCTGGTGATAGGCCGCAGTTCAAGTAAAACACTGAAAACAGAGACTGAAGGACGAAACTACAAGGGAAATCTTCACGTCAGCCATCAAGACAAATGGGAGATATCGAGCAGCATCCCTAGAGAAACCTATGTGGAAGAACACTGGAAGTCTTTGAAAAAGATGTGGAAAGGAACTTGCATTACCGTATGAGGAAGGAAGAAGAAAGAAGACAAGGAATGGATCTCGACGGATACATGGAAGCTGCTAGAACGAGGAGAGGAAGATGGTGAAGCAGAAGATGAACCAGTGCAAGGATGCTCAACGACAAGAGGAACTGAGCACAATGTATAAAACACTGGACAAAGAAGTCAAGAAGAGTGCACGCAAAAACAAAAGACACTTCTACGAAACACTGGCAAGTGAAGCAGAACAGGCTGCAGGTAAGAGAGACAGAGACCTGACAACATTGTATCAAATAACCAGGTTGCTATCAGGAAAGAGACCAACACCGATGAAACCAATAAAAGATGAAGAAGGAAATTTAATTACGAAAGAAGAGAAGCAAAGGAAACAATGAGCCGACCACTTCAAAAAACTCTTGAATCGACCACCACCTGCACTTCGTCCAGAAATGCCACCTGCAACCCAGCCACAGAACTACAAGTGAACATAAATCCTCCAACAAAAGTCGAAGTCCTGAGCGCCATAAACCTGCTGAAATGCGGGAAAGCAGCAGGACCAGATGGAATGCCGCCACAAGCACTGAGAACAGACGCAGAGGCAACAGTGGACATGCTCACACCACTATTGCAGAAGGTTTACAAGGAAGGATGGAAAGGTACCTGCCGACTGATTGGAAGAAGGACTACCTTGTCAAACTCCCGAAGAAAGGAAGACCTAAGTCTTTGCAAGAACTGGCGCGGAATCACGCTCCTGTCCACCCCAAGCAAAATATTATCTTGGAGACTAAAAGATGCATTGGATTCAAAACTACGACCTGAACAGGCAGGTTTCAGGAAGTACAAATCATGTGCGGATCAAATTACTACGCTTAGCATCATCATACAACACAGCATAGAATGCCAGTCAACTCAATTCTACCTCAACTTCATCCACTTTGAAAAGGCCAGTCTTCGACAGCGTCGACCGAGAGGTGATTTAGAAGCTACTTCAACACCACGGAATACCACAAACACTTATCAATCTCATTCAACGACTATATGAATATGCCACATGTCAAGTAATTCACAATGGAAAGCTCAGTGATGCCTTCGAAGTGAAGACAGGAGTGAAACAAGGCTGCCGTCTACTATCAACCATGATATTCCTCATTGTGGTGGACTGGATCATGCAACAAACAGTGAGGAGCGAGAAGAGCAAGATACGCTGGACCAGGGAAAACATCCTAGAAGATTTGGATTTCGCCGATGACTTGTGTCTGATGTCGCACAAACTTGAAGATCTACAGGTGAAAACTAACAAGTTGACAGAAGAGGCAGCGCAGGGCAGGGCAGCGAAGACAGGACTTCAAGTGAACGTAGTGAAGAAAGAGGTGACGAAGATACCCAACTAACAACAACAACAAGAAACACCAATCACCATCAATGGGAGAAAATTAAAGGAAGTAACCTCCTTCACCTATCTAGGAAGCACTGTTTCAACTACAGGCGGCACAGGCACACACGAGGGTGTCAAAGTCAGAATCGGAAAAGCAAGACAGGAGTTCATTAACCTGAAACCAGCGTGTAGATCTTAGGCACTCAGCATACAGCGTGAACATCCGGATTTTCGACACCAACACTAGTCAAGTCAGTGCTTCTGTATGGCTCAGAGACTTGGCGCGTTACGAAAAGCATTCCCATCAAACTACATACATTCATCAACAAGTGCCGTCTACGCTCGCTACTGAAGGTCAGATGGTCGGAAAGAATAAGCAACAAGGAACTCTGTCTAGCTGGCTGGCAACGAACCAACCAACAACCTATCGCTGAAAAAATATAGACTGGAAGGAAGTGGAGATGGATTGGGCATACATTGAGAAGGCCAACTGGGGACATTACGTGACAGGCCAGGCACTCGAGTGTAACCCAGATGGGAAGCGACTAGTTGGGTGTCAGAGGGTGACATGGAGGAGATCGTGCGAGGAGGAAATGAGAGGTTGTGGGCTGTCGTGGAGCCAGGTTCAAAAGATTTCAGAGAACAGAGCGCATTGGAGACGTGATACTGAAGCCCTATGTTCCATTAGGAACCCAAGCGACAAATAATATAGTAATAATAATATGCTGAAGACCATTCCACTCAACCTAGCTTTCGCACTCTAGACTCTAAACAAGGAATGAGGCTCATAAATTCGTGAAACATTTCGAATTTCAGTACTGGATTTAATTTTTATTATATGAAATGATAAAAACCTATTAAAATTTATTCATACCTTTAGTACAAGTGATTCAAAATGATCTTTCTGTTCATCAGTTTCAAAGCAGTAACAGTGATTACAATCCACAATAATAACTTCTTTCGGATTGGACTGAAGGAAATGAAGAATACTTTCAAGTTCTATGGATAACAGATTTGCATACTGTCCATGTACTAAACAAAAGTCGTAATCAGTGCTATCATATTGGCTTAACCTTTTTTTTCTCCGCAAACAGATGCGAAAATCGAAATACCGAATTCCAGCTTCTAATTGGTCAACTAAATTTAGTGACTGAGTCACACTCCATGGATATAATACTCGACTTAACATTGAACGAGGCATATATTTAGCTAGTTGATAAATAGGGCCATCCGGTGAAGGTAGACTGCGTTGAGTTATGGAATAAGTAAATGAATCATGGCTACCTGGAAACACAAAGTAAAAGAAGGAAGCAATTTGTTCACACAAAATGGGGTAGTAGTAGAAAAAGGGTATCATACTGTAGTATTAATGAGAGGTCAAATATCTTACGCTTCAACTCACAATAATAGGCTTTCAACGAAAGTCAGTTTTATTTACTAGTTCTATGAAATGCTTTCCACTTAGAATAGCCTCCACAGATCGGACCAAAACTACCATAGATAAGACTAACATACACGATGCAATGGCAAAACACTATCTATTTGTTTCTATGCCTTCTAAGATTATCCCTTGTATGCGAATAACACGGTTACTTGCTTATCAATTAAGTATACGGCCTTTTGTAAATTAACTCATAAAATGTTCTACCTTAATGAATGATGTGAACACATAATTAAGAACTGTATTCATGTAGGACTGTTTGTCTAGATTATGGAATGTTGGAAGTTAAAAAACTAAGGCAAGTATGGTGGAATCTTGGATGGATTTTAATATCAAGAATACATATGAAGCAGCCCCATCCAGACTGGATACGTTTGTAATTGCATTTACGTTGATTTATTAGATGCATCACAGATAATGGAACAGTATTATTTACTAGATTACGTTTCAGATACAATCTATTGTTCTTAGTCACATCAAGATAACTTCACAACTTTGAGATATGATTTAAATAGTTCTAATTTTCTCGCCTCCTCAGTGATATGTGTGGTAGGATTTTCCATATATCCGGAACAGGGTCTTAGCTACGCGTGAAAGTACAGGCTAACTAGATAGATCAGTAAAACAATGCGAATAGGAAAAATTAGGTTTGCTACAATCATGACAAAACATTTGAAAGATTTAATTTTGAAAGCATATATAATAGTTTCTTGGAATGCTCTAGGGCAACATCAAATACTTTGAAACCATAATTCTTGAAAAACACGTCAACTACACTGATAAAATGATAAAATATGGAAGAAATCAATGTTTTAAACAGCATTGACAAACTAACCCGGTATACATATTGTATTAAGGGGTTTTTGCGCTATATGTGATGGCAGATCAGACATCCATGAACGTGGATTAATCATGGTTTATCTGTGTGTAAAATAAAACCCATAAGTTACATTACAAATTTAGAGATCAGTGTCATACTGCAGCATGAGTTCATGTAAAACATTAGTCATATAAAAATACAACTATAAATTTAACTTTGACTGTTGTACGCGTTTCACGCCTAGATGATTAACCTTTTCAGTAGGAACTGTTGCATAAGAAATATGTTTTTCAAACCAGGTTTAATTGTCTGTACATTCGATACATCAGCATATCATAAGGAAAACTTCGCCTTCAAGAATATTGGGTTCTATAAAGCTGCCTATATAATTAGAAATTTGTCGCTAAAACTGGAGGTCAAGCTATTCTTAGCGGAACACTGAGCATTTCACCATACGACCTGATTGAATCAACGTAACAATGGAACATCACGGCATGCACTGTAGCACAAGGCGATTCGGTAACCCAATACAGGTTTGTGTTCTAGGTTACAAGCAGTAAGTAGTGCAAGCTTTTATGTTACCACTCGGTTGCTCAGGTTGAAGTGGTGCTTGAATCTAAAGCTTAATGGGTGCAAATCGAATGTCTAAGCTAAATGAGTGATTTCACCATAAAACAAGATGGCCAATATCTGATATAGAAAGAAAATCTAGGGAACATAAATCAAAATCACAAGAAACCAGAAATTGATTTTCTTGGTGATAATGTCAACTTGACTTCCAATTCACTCGAAGTGTTAACTTCAGTTAGTGCATTATAAGCTAAAAGTAAGCTCCACTCATATATATATATATATATATATATATATATATATATATATATATATATATATATATATGTAAGAAGATACTCCTAGACTGGCCTGCTGCAAGTATTCTCACCTCAATGATGAGGAGAGAAATCGTGGAAAATGTCGACCGCTTCACTTACTTACGGAGTCGCATTAGCCCGCCCGAATCGACTGGTTGCTGACCAAATATCAGCTCAGATACACAACGCCCAGTCCACATTTGACAACTGGCGTCATCTGCGGTGCTGGCTGACGAGATATTCGATTGCCTATAAAACGATGAGTACACTCAGCTGCACGTCGTTCTGTCCTGTTGTACAACTGTGATACATGGTCATTAAAAGTCAATATAGGGTTTCGACTACATATATTTTCGTGGCATTGCTCGTGTTCTGTGGAACCATCGTGTGAGCAACGCGGAGGTCAGGTGAAAGGTATTAGGCAAGACAGGCAAGTCGATTGATGAGGTTGTCCACCCTAGCCGACTGAGATGGCTTCCACATGTACTGAGCATGCCGAACCACTCATCGCCTACTTCAACGTGGCATCCTAGGGAAAGTTGAATTACATGTTGGAAGACGATTCAGAGTGGCCATCCACAGAAGTCTCTTTATGCTGACCTGAGCCATGTGGAGAGATGTAGACTGTCTGGTTGGGGTCTCCGAGACCAAACGAATCAGTGGTTGACGACTCATCGTGACATGGCTGAAAATCGGTCACAATAGAGCAGATGTTTACACCCTTTGATGACTTCTAAACCTTGAATATTCACACTTACCTTTGTCTTCAGATTGTTTATTCTCTCACACTAACTCATCTTCGGCATCATTCTATTCTATCCACCTTTTCTTGGTGTACTATTATGAAGTGGGGCAAATTGAGCCGATGTACCTGTTTGCAAGGTTCTGCGTTGATTTCTTCAGTTAAGGAAGGATTCAGAATCTCCACAGTATTACCACACAAGGAAGGCAACCAAAAATAAATAACTTAGGATTGTGAATAAGGGATTAGAGTGACATTCAAACCTAGAGATTCCCTAAGAAATAAGATTTCTGGGTTGAAGGTTAAAATAATCGGTTAATTAGGCTAACCAGGCGGGCGAAAAAGTCAAAATCTGTAGATCCGAGTAAAATAAGGAACCGAGAAGAAAGTTCAGCCATAGCCATCCCATGAATGAAGTAAAACAGGTATCGACCTGTCTTTCCGTCTGATAGTGATTTCGGATTGTCGACTTAAAACCATGTTTAATGGTTTTCGAGGTAAACTGTGACACTTATGTAACGCGTCTGAGAAATATTCATAGAAGTTAAAAGTCTGTGAACCTGTTTTCTTATTGATCAAGCTAAGTTGTCATGCATATGGAGCTGACTATGATCAGAGAAAACCGAGAGTTAAACACATTGTAAGAAGTGCAAACCTTTCATAATACCAAAAGCGAAAAAGCATATTCGTCAGGTTAGGTGTCAATTCAATACAAGTTTCGTCATAGTACCAACTAGTAAAAAAAAAAACTTGACTATAGTCAAGTATTAAAGCGCACCCAAAGTGTTTGCCGGCTGGGTTCGCTCTAACTTTAACACTTGACAATTTCGGGGATGAGGATACATTGTCTGCAGTAAGCCTTGAACTTCTGTGTCCTTTTTTGCCCGAAAATTTCAAAGTGCACCCAAAGTGCCGGCTGGGAAACTACACTTTTCCGAAAGCTTTTGAAGATCATTCTGCAATTTCCTAATTTAGCCCTACGTTTTGGCACATGGTTGTAATGCGATATATACATATATATATATATATATATATATATATATATATATATATATATATATATATATATATATATATATAACGTCCCCACGTTTTCCCTATCTTTACCCAATATTTCCTCATCACCGTCAGCTTGGGGCAACTCAGTATCCGCAAAGTAAATACGTTTGTGGTGGGAAATTACCGATATTGTCAAAGACTAACATTTTAACGCAAATATAATATTCTTCACCACAAATTACTTGGTAACGTTACGAGTGTTAACACCATTTTGAGTGCTTGTTGCTGGACGTAATTATGACTGCGTGAGTGTCAGAAACGTCCCATTTTTTGATTGGTCAGTGCAACATTGACATCAAAAGAAGTGACTATTAGAGGCCACCTTAGCAAAAAATGAAAAGAACAGTCAAGCTTCAGTATTTCGCTTGGAAAAGTACTTTTTCATCAAAAAAAGAATGTATTTGGCTGTCTGATCAATTGTTAGGGTGGCTTTCAAGGTCATTTTTCAAAATACTGAAAGCGCTACTTTCAGACCTTGTTAACACTCCATTTTTGTCATTGCTTTGTTCAGACGTTATCGGTATACCATTCTGTATTGGGAGTCAGCACCAAAATTTTTTATCGGTGAATGTTGCAACAGAATTCAATCTGCTAGCGAGGCATCTAAGTTTACGGATGTGGCAAGAGTGTGAAACGTGTATCAAGCGAGCCCAAGAGATTAGTTGTTTAGATTATAAATCCATTATTTGATGCTGAACAAACCAAACTTTTATACAAGATTCGTGATCGTCGCCTAAACAGAGACAAAAACAATAACATGGACCTAGTATACGGGTACCATTATGTTGTGTTTTTCTATCATGTTGTTCGATGGAGGAAGCCGTAGGGTGGCAAACAGCGAAGATCACAGTAAATACTATGATAACAAGCATTACATATACGTTTCAGACTGAAGCTCTTGAGGTGTCCCTTCACCTTCCGGATTAAACTGAATTTTGGGCGATGTGAAGTTGCTGAGCCTGTTAGCCCCAAACATAGTCACGACTGGTAGAAACATCTGGAGGCATTTGTGAAAAAATTGGTTCGATGACTCAGGGGTGGGCAACAAAGGGGCATTTGACCGTTGATCGAATGGAATACGCTGCCAGACGCCTTCGAGATCGTTGCGAGACAACAGTCACCCACCTATGGAATGTATCTAGAGGACTGTGAATGCTGAAGAAGTAGGAAGACTGGCTCCGTCAGCAATTTATAAGTCACAGCTACCTGCTCGGAAGGACCAGGAAAGAGTATCTCATCTGCTGTCGGAAGTGTGCCCTAAGGTCCGTGAAGAGAGCTATCGACCAGAACAGACTTCAGTGATCTCAAATTCCAAGAGACCGCCGTACTGCGTATGAACCCAGGTTAACCTGCACAAAGAAATGCATTTTTTTCAACCATTCCTACTCTAATGTCCGTTGAAGCGGAAAGCAGGACTGCTCATGGGGGCAGCAGAAGGAGTGGGAAGATTTTTAGGTTATCATACTATGACTCACAGCGCTAGTCACGTAACTACCAACTAATTAGAGGGTAGAAACGCAGATTCATACCAAATTGGTTCGGTCGCCAATTTCAGATTCTCTTGTAGTGCCCTCGGAGGCAAAGGATCGTAGCAAGAGAGATGAGCAGGGGCATACCCGTACTGAAGTCATCATTAGAGGTACGAAATGCCAGTATGACATCACTCAGTTTCCTAATCGTTCTTCATAATCAAGATTCGGACGGCATGAGCAAGCTTATTACACGCTCAAGTATTTCGGCAACGGACTAGCCGGATGAATCCAACATTCCAAGCGAGGGCTTACGCAAGTAGAATAATAGAAGTCTTTGAAAGCTGGGTGGATGGAGAATAATGGGCGGAAGTCCTTTGGCGCATCTGCATTGCAGTGTGCCGAGGTCTTCAAGTTCCGGCTCACGATGGCACCTGAGTCTTTCGTTTCGAAGACTCGGGGTAGTGTACCATCACCGGAATGCCGGAAACAATTGGTATGATTATTGTGCATTATTGCACTTTAACTAGGGTCAATTTCTGGGCACCAGCCTTCGGACCAACCTACAAATTTATCAAAATATGCGTGAAGCGTTTACACTCATCAGCATCACTATGACTCCAGACATCGTTGGTGAATGGCAACGCCGAAGAGCTGAGCAGTTGCGGTAACTCACTGAAACATGACCAGAAATTTTGTTTACGAAACTCCTCTTATCTCAGGTTTCCACTACGGCAGTGTCACGCTAATTTTCACTCCGTCTTTCACGATGCGGAAAGTCCTCATTGAAACACCAAACCCAAAAAAGTAGGGCTTCCCTAATAATTTCTCATGAAATACCCCATCGGAAACCGTTCTGAAATCTATAAACAAGGCACTCATTCGCGGCTTTTAGTCACAGACGCCAGCCCATTCATCCCACTAAGTGCGGAAGTTTGTTAAACAAGTGGCCACAGTAAGAAAACCTTGCTGCTGCGAAGCAAAAAGATTAGGTGATTTGACATGGCTAAGTGCCTCGTCACAAATGATTTTCCCAAAACCCACGGGGCGATAGTTAACTACCAACTGGCGAAGGCCAGCCCTGAAAACCAAGCTGATCATAGCATTTTTCCAGTCTCATGGGAGGCGAGGCTGAGATGAAGAGCATATTGAAGAGGTCAGTGACTACCATAACAATAGTGTTTGCTGGTAAAGATGGCAATCTGGAGGCGACTCAGATATTTAAGATTAATGAGCGACTGGAGGACCGTTTCTTTTGTTAAGAGCACCGTATCCATTGGCGGGGCAGCGGTGACACCACTGATAAGCACACCATTGCCATGACCTACTGAAAGGGTGTAAATAAATTGATCGAATAGTCACTCAATGTGGATAAATTACATCCCACCAGACTGACGCACCTCCCACCTGCCACCGGGGAGGGAATTCCACATTTTATTTTAGTCCGTTCACGGAGTGTTAACCAACTTCGTCGATAGTGTGCGGGCCGTACGCCTTAAGACAGTCGAGGCGATATAATAGAAGTTTTTAGCAGATTAGGCACATCACACTGATTTATATTTTTCAGGTAAAGCTTCTATACGAGTTTTTACAGGTTGACTCCATCTTGACGGTTCTTAAGCGTGTTTGTTAGATCACGGGCGGCAACTTGAAGTTCTTCGTGGGGTCGACCATAGAATA